GCAAGGGTCGGCAACTGGCGGACCGCGGTCCAGGTCCGGACCGCGGAAGGTAAAATACTGGACCGCCAAAAATTTTTTGAAAGTATAAATTACTCAAATAAATTATTTAAAAAATGTTTTTTACGTTTAAGTGCCAATCTTATCATTTTTTCTAGTATTTTACAATTGTGTGAGTGTTTTGAGTTCTTAATTAGTAAGCAGATTAAATTTGAGTCCAAATTAAAATAAAAAAAATAAGAAATTGAATTTTTTTCTGGACCTCATTAAAAATTTTCAAAAGTATCCGGACCGCACCTAAACTTACTTGCCGACCCCTGCTCTATATCTTTAAGACAAAATTTGGGATTGAAATAAACTTTTACAAGGAATAAAATTTTCCAAGATTTTTTTTCGATTCGATTTTTGAAAAAAAATAGATATTGCAATTATTAAATAAATAATAAATAAAAGAGGAAATAAACATAAGTTATTGCATATAGCATGTAGTATAGTTTCTGCTCACAATCATCCTCTTTGGCGTGAAAGTAACCTTTGATGTAAAGTACTAAATAATTTATCAAAAGGAAATCGATGATTTGGAAAAGCTTCGTGATATAATATGCATGCTTCTAGAGCATAACCATTAGCTCTAACGTACATAAAATGCATATTGGTCTTTTCTTCAAATGAATATGGCAGCATTTTTAAAACTCGAACAGTCTATTCATATATTTTTATTCAGTACAATAATTTTTGACAAACGTCAAATAAACAGATTTCGGTTGCATATAGAATTTCTGACAATTTTCATTTTAAACACAGTGCCGTCATAAGTCTGCTTTAATGTTTTGGTCGAACGAGAATTAACGCATTATTTTATAACCGAAATTCATATCGACGTTTAAAGCGGCTTCAGAGAAATAAAATAAAAACCCGTTCTTGGGCGCAATCTTTGAATCTCCATAACACCCTCGCAAAAATTTGAAAAGAAATATGCAAAATAGAAAATTAAAACGGGAGTCTTCCTGGCATTTTTATTTCTTTAGTTTTTGTTTAATATAACATATTACAATTACCAAATAAAACTGTAATGTTATTAAAGAATTAGTTTATCATTATAACACACTAATTTCAAAGCTCTTTTTCATATTGGAACTTCATAGGCTCAAGTAGAGCTGTATGTCCTTGTTACTGAATTAGGGAAAAAAGCACTAAAAAAGTAATTAATTTTGAACACTTTGTATCCCAAAAACGTCCTATGAACTACGAACAAAAATAAACCTTTTTTTTAAGTAGGGCCGTCTGTCAACCTTAAAGCCCTACCACAAAAAGGTACCCTGTACATTTTATTATTACTATCTATAAACAATGAATTCCATTTTTGTAGAAAATATTAACTAAATCAGAGTTTTAAGATTTTTTTAGAAATGTACGGATGAAATAATGAAAAAAAAAAAATATTTTGAAATGTATTTATATTAATAAACATTAAACCTAAAAATAAAGGTGTTTTTCAGCCAGTAGAATAGAGTAAAAGCCTACTTTATTGGATTAATTATTTCTATGAAGGTAATAATGTTATTGGCATCGAGGACTACTTAACCATAAGTGAATAGTTTAAGCTAAAATTGTTATGAATTACTAATTTATACAATTGACACTTTGGATCGTTCATTTAATTATGATTATGATGTTTTGGCAATCATGATATTATTATGTCCAGTTTTATAATAAACTACCTTCATTTAATTCGTAACATACAAACATTACTAAAACGATAGTGTTATAAAATGGTTACCAAAGGCAATAGCATTTTAAAGCGTGTAGTTTCTAGCAGCTTCATCTTTATTTTAATTTTCAACATAAGTTGCTTTTACATTATCAAATTTTCTCATAGCGATGCCCACAATGTTGGAATGTAAGTTAATTACAATCCTTTGTATTGTAGAATATACACACTTATTTCTTTGTTTTAGAGACAGTTTTGTATCGAAAGCAGCATTTTGGATTATAAAATATGTTCTACCAAATTTTAGCAATTACATTTGTGTTTTAATAGTAAAAAAATATAAAATAATATATCAAGTTATTAATGACTTGCTTAAAATCAATCAAAACATAGGAGACACACATAATATAAATTCAAAACAAATCCCTGTAAAATTTTATGTATTTGTGATATCTTCCGCTTCTATGTCGTTGATGATTCTAGAAATTGTCTATAATAAATCAAATTTTATGTCGTTGTGGTGTATATACGTACCAAGTACTATAATTAATTTGTACACAGCTGTTAATGCTCTTATAATCGAAATGTGTGCAACACACTTCAAAAAAATTAATGAGGTTCTTAAAAAGTTTTCTAAACAATCTCTTATTGACAAAATAATTGACATTCAAAGTACCAATCATGGTAACAGAAAGAGTAACACCAACGACATCGTTCATAATTTCGCAATGTATAGTAAAATGTATAACATTGCATGTGATATTAACAAAATAGGCGGATTTGGCATTGTAATTTATTTAATGATTGGAATAACGATGAACTTATCCGTTACATATTCATATATAACTAAAAATGATGTGACAGAATACAGCGGTTTTCCATATAAGGTCAATCTTTCTAGAGAGTTCTGTTTTCTAAGTTTCTCGTTAGGAATTTGTTTACTGACATACATATCACACCACTTACAAAATGAAGCTGAAAAAACTGGTTCAATTGTTTATGAGTTGGTACATCTCAATCCTGACACAAGTGAAGAGGTGAGTAAATACTAAAAAAGCATACAATATCTCAGTATTACTATATTTTACTTTTTAACATATTTTTTTTGTTTCCAATTAATATTTTTTTCTGCAATACTTTAAATTACAGATAATACTTCATGGTCTTCAAATACTGAATCAAAAGGTTCAAATAACGGCAGCTGGCCTTTTCACTATTGACTTTGACATCACTCCTGAGGTACTCGAATTATTTACGACTCATAATCTGTTTATTTAAAAATTATTTGTTTCAGATTATAATCCTGTTTGTTACACATCTTTCAGTATTTATACAAATTAACGAGTATTACCAATAACACAAATATTGAAATATTGTGTATTTGATTCAATGTAAAAATAAATTTGTATTCTGTCCTCATATGAGTAGTCAATTATTTGTAATTATAAAATGTGGACATTGATATACAGGGTGTCTCACCGGGAACTGCGTCGATCGATATCTAGGAAAATACTGCTCTGAAAAATTTGAAAATTTGGCAACTTGACAATGTCCCTAGGACGAGCACAACTAAAATATCTCTTCAGCACTTCCGGTTATACCCGAAGTCGACACCAACTTCGTTATATTAAACAGAACACCCTATATATTATTGCATTTTCATATTCTACGTGAAATTTAAGGGTCAGTTTATTAAATTTTCCCTATACCTAGCAGTTATAGATTTTGAAATATTAAATTTTAGAGAAAAAAATTTGACAGATGCAAGGGTCCGCGGAGATGCTAGTAACTCTTTTCAGGAGCATGATATCAAGCGGATTTTTGGTACCTGTAAAGGGCATAGGTAATGCTAAATTGCGCACAGCAGGTAGAGTGGAGCGCTTGTTCAGTTAGTCTAGTCACTTTGAGCAGATGCAAGCTCAAAACGATGCCTATGATGAAGAAGGACTGTTAAATGGTGCTGGAATCGCTGAATGATCGGAAAGCACTTTATATTATTGACATCTTTCTCAAATTTCTAATTTTCGGAAATCTTCAAATACGATTTTCTCAAAACGACATTGTTTTGATTCACGGAGACTAGCTTTAAAAGTTACAAACCGATCATTATGAAAATTAAAAGTGTGTTTCTTTATGAAATTTCAAATAACGTGAATCAACAATTGGGATGATATCACAATTTTTAAAGGGTTATTTATTCAAAATAACTGAAAAAAAAAGGTGATATCAAATCGATACATTTTCCTTAAACACATGTCAAAACTTCAATTTTTCCAATTTTTACCCGCAATGTGGTTCATATTCTTAGAGAACATGTTAATAATGCAGGAAAACAACCATTTTGCTTTCAGATGAAAATTGCGACTTCCACATTTCTCCTGAACAACCAACTTGGACGATGACTTTCGGTGGACAACATAACTGGCATAACTTGTTCAACACAAGTGAAAAAGTTGTAAATGTAGTTCAAAAAATTGATAAAATAATGTCAAAGTATCATCAAATTCTAATAATCAACTTGTCCCACTCAAAAAAGGAACGCCTGGAAATCAGCCTCCTAATGTGGTTTACTCCCTTAAAAGCACCCAGTCAAGCCAGATTTTCAACATTCAACCTTCAATCCAACATTCTCAAAAATTCATTCTGCAATTTGCTGGAATTAAAACTGTAAAACATTATTTAAAGTAATAATTTTATTAAAAATATTAGGTACAATTAAGTAACTTTAACCACATAAAAGCAATGTAAAAATAACGAAAGTAACAACATTAAAAATGAATTAAATAAAATGAACATAGCAGCATCGCTGTTAATTAAATAAAACATGGACACTCGATAAGTGTACAAGAATAAATTATGAGATGTCGTTTACAACTGAATTTTACTTGGCTTATTACGTTTAAAAAAAGTAAACTTTAGTAGCCGTTTTTTACCTATTTAATGGGCTTTTATGAAAAATATTTTGGTACGTAAGTTTCAGTTGTGACAATTACAATTATAAAATGACTGAATAAATTTATTTTACTCGTTTAAGGATTTTTAATATTAAAAGGGACGGGAATTTCCGTGGTCCATAGGCTCGGAAACAGGACAAATAATAGTTAAGTATTATTATCATATGGACTTAGAACCAACGGAAAAAAGACGAACAAGATAATTTTTCACAGAGGAACAAAGCAGCTTTATATTCCTTCAAGTGTTGTGTTGTGAGTTTGTTTGGGAGTGAATTTTTGTATAAAGCTGCCCTTTTCACATTTTAAATTTACGCTAATCTTAACCATTATACCTATATTAATATTTAACAATTAGACTGCAGTACAGTTAAATAATAAATATAATTTTTTTGAATCGATTTTTAACAGTTTATTTTACCCTTCCACTTATTCAGTAGTATTTTTAATATTCAGAGTATGAAAAAAAACACTAAATTAAAATTCTGAACATCACACAAATTATATATCAATTACACTTACTATCACTAATAAATATTTAATAATAAATACTTCTGTTACAAGTTAATATTCCTTGTTAGTAACCACATAACTGGGTCAATATAATAATAATAAACACTATTCCACTATTTTCTACTATTACATGTGTTAATGAAAACAATAATCCTAAAAATTCTCCTACTCGAGACTTAATGGAATACATGAACTAAGTTAATTCAACTAACCAATCCATGAGAAAAATGGATCTATCGAAACTTTTTGGCAATCAGTGTATCTAACGGAAAGAAGTTATTTGAATGCAATCCCTGATACTAAAAAAGTTATGTATCGATTTTAAGAAAACAATTATGTTATCAGTCAGTGCAAACATATCTTTCTCAACCTCAAACAAATTTTTTATAACGATTGACCAAAGAAATAATCTTTTAAGTACTAAATTAATGATCGAAATCTGAAACTTGTATTAATAATATCAGGAATAGACAGAATCACTAGTAACCAAAAGTAAAAGGTATAAGAAGTTGAAAATAATAAATATCTTTTAAATACCACTAGTAACCAAAAGTAAAAGGTATAAGAAGTTGAAAATAATAAATATCTTTTAAATACCACTAGTAACCAAAAGTAAAAGGTATAAGTCAAAAATAATGAATATCTTTTAAATACTAATAAATAATAGCTGCTAAATCATAGCGTAAAACTGATGTTAAGGAAAAAGTAAGGATTGATAAATATATTTCTATGTAACAGTAACGAATACTCATTATAAAATGACGTGGAAGATAAAACATTCATAGTCACACAAATAATATGTAATAGACATTGCACATTGTTTTTTAAGGCCAAAATTGAAATAATTTTGGAAAATCTTCGACAAGTCTAAAGTCAATTTGTCTCATTCTGCATTAATCATAACATCAGATCAACATTTATTCAGAACCTCTCGATCAAGGCATATCTTTTTATCACATTTCATCATGCAATTCCTAACAAAACGTAAGTAGTGTAATGAAAAATTCATTGATAATAAAAATACCTTATTTCCATCAATCACCAATTCAATAACATCTTGGTGTGAACAACCTAGAGTTTAAAGAATGTCGTAATAAATGCAATGGCATACACAAAGGGCCTCGACCTTGGCTAGAACATATCACGGTTGGATCTGCCGGGTCGCTGGAAGTTGCGGTTGTTTGGTCTTCTCGCATTTCTAATTTCCCTGTCTACTTCTAGTTCTTCCAGACGCTGAGTCAAAGACAACTTCTGCTGGACAGCCAACCGAAGAAGTTGGTTCAGTGTTTTTTTTTCATCCTCGGCTGCATTAAGTTGCTGCTGCAGTTCATCTACCTGTGTTACATACTCTTCACATCTGGCAGCAAACATTGCCCTCAGGCCTAGAAGTAAACAATCGTAAATAGAAATTTAAAAAGAAATAATAATTTTGGAGTATACAAAAATACATTTAAGAATATTTTTTATTTGTCATTATTTTGCAACTAGAATAAAATAAAATTATCAAAATCATAATAATGAGAAATAACTTTAAACAACCCTGCCGGAATCCTTATGTAAATTGGTTTTCGGTCAAATGGTTTGAAACCAGGTGGTTTTTGTAGCTCTTGAGTGGTAGATTAAAAGTGTCCATGGGCGTCAAGCCCTAAAAATTCATGGTTCAAAGTTGCAGCTCGCTGAAGCTACAATGCTTTAGATTTCACTACCTGCATAGTATAGTAATAAAATATTACATTTTTTGCTCAATGCCCAATTACCCAATAAACTATCGCCGATATATCGATATCTCTGACTGAAAGGGTAAAAAACTATATTGAGATGATTTTTCAGATCACGATCAGTACATTATCGTACAATAAAAATCATAGCGATTGCTGTCTGCATTTGCGTGACCGAGGTGCACCATGGGGAGATTACTAGATCGGACTTAGCACATCATGGGATTCATCGGGTACTTGTTTCGAAGCCGCTCCTAGCCTAAAAACCAAAAATGCAGGCAATACGAGCGCATGTGCCTAAAGTCCAGTCACCAGATAAACATGTGCAATAACATCTTATTCCGTTCATTTGTATGCTCGTCAACAAACTCTTTATCATTTTTCCTCGTGATTTTATCGTCATCTAGTTGTTTCTGGCTTAAAGTTCAGCAAATCCCTGCAGCATGCATAAAATATTATGTTGCTTTTAGTGGCTCGAAGCAAATACTGCGTTTTTGAAATAAAATGTTACTTTATGCTTAAAAGTATTAAGCTATCATATTTAATATATTTGAAAAAAATAATAGATAAACAGTTTTTTACATTATTTCACCAAAACGTACTTTTGTAAAGGAATTGATGGATAAATATTTTTTCAAAAGTAAACATTAGTTAATTGCCTAATCCTATTTCAAGATTACATATTGGTGAGATAATTGTAGAAAAAAAATTTTTTTTAAACTATTGATAAGAGCATTTTATATATTTTTTCTGGGTATGTATTATAATGACCTTATTGAATGACAGTTCAATACGACAAAGCAAACAAAAATAAATAGTGTACGAAAATGCTCGGCATTGTTATTGTCATTAGAATACAAGCTATAGAGTATTGTAGCTTGCAATGTCAAAAATAAAAATAATGCGNCGCTCATAGCCTAAAAACCAAAAATGCAGGCAATACGAGCGCATGTGCCTAAAGGCCAGTCACCAGATAAACATGTGCAATAATACCTTATTTCGTTTATTTGTATGCTCATCAACAAACTCTTTATCATTTTTCCTTGCGATTTTATCGTCATCTAGTTGTTTCTGGCTTAAAGTTCGGCAAGTCGCCGCAGCATGCATAAAATATTATGTTGATGTTAGTGGCTCGAAGCAAATACTGCGTTTTTGAAATAAAATGTTACTTTATGCATGAAAGTATTAATATATTTGAAAAGAATTAATAGATAGATTAACATTTTTTTACATTATTTCACCAAAATATACTTTTCAATCAATCAATCAATCGATTAATCAAAAGTATTAAATGAAGTTTCTCGTACTAATCCTATTTCAAGATTACATATTGGTGAGATAATTCTAGAAAAAAAATATTTTTAAACTAACTATTAATAGAGCATTTTATATTTTTTTCTGGGTATGTATCATAATGGCCTTATTGAATGACAGTTCAATACGTCAAAACAAATAAAAATAAATAATGTACGAAAATGTTCGGCATTGTTATTGTCATTAGAATACAAGTTATAGAGTATTGTAGATTGCAATGTCAAAAATAAAAATAATAGTTTTTCCCCATCCTAGTAGCATGCTTTAGTGTGCTTCAATTGTTCATATGTAGCATTTAAACGATGGTAAGTTTTCTCGAAATGTTAACATACGAGTAGTTCAATTCTGTTTTACAATTCTACCTTTTCCGTGTGCAAAATCTGAGAACAGCTTGAATTCCACTATTTATATTATTTATGTTAGCGAGTTATTTCTATGAAGTTATATTTGCAAAAAATACCTATAAGGTCATTATTAATATTTTTTATGCTTATTATTAGTTCATAATCTGTATTATCATTAATATTTATTTTTGCTGATTTAAATATATACTTTTTCTATGCAACTTATGGGATAATAATATTAGTTTAAAAATTTGAAATATTCAATAAGACAATCGCATTTTTTAGTGATTCTGAGTGATTGTGTCTGGTGGCAAAAAAATAAATCATCAAAAAAAGCATAAAAATAATATCAAGTACCCCAATGAATCCTTGCTGAATTCAACATCAGATGCATGCAATGAGAACGAAAATAATATTGAAATATTAGATTAAGGCATTAGATTCCTGCTAGACAGGATCTTTCAACTCTGAAAATCAGCCCTACCTCCCCGTGGTGCACATTGGGTCACGCAAATGCAGACGGCAATCGCTATGATTTTTATTGTACGATAATGATTGTGAAAAATCGATTGTACTGATCGTGATCTGAAAGATCATCTCAATATCGTTTTTAACCCTTTCAGTCAGAGATCTCCATATATCGGTGATAGTTTATTGGGTTATTGGACATTGAGCAAAAATGTAGTAATTTTTTTACTATACTATGCAGGTAGTGGAATCTAAAGCATTGTAGTTTCAGCGAGCTGCAACTTTGAACCATGAATTTTTAGGGCTTGACGCCCATTGAGACTTTTAATCTACAACTCAAAAGCTACAAAAACCACCTGGTTTCAAATCATTTGACTGAAAACCAATTTACATAAGGATTCCGGTGGGGTCCTTTGCCACTGGAAGTGGCATGACAAACTATAAAACAAAGATTTTTTACTCAAAAAATCCCTACAACTGAAGGAAAAATTACACACAAATTGGTAGCATATAATTTTGTTCTGACCCCGAGTATAGTCGTAGTTTATATAATATCCGCCTATACAGGGTGATTCACAACTTATCCAAAAAAATTTGGGAATAGATGTGTAATGAAAAATGGAGTCACTATCATAAAAATTTTTTTGTAAAATCCTTATAGTTTTCAACCTTTACATCGCTGGGTTACTGTAGTTTCTAGCGTCATTCACCCACGTGGCCCCAGGCGATTCCGAATACTGAAAACCGATTTTAGTATTATTGTTGTTGCGATAGTGTTTATATTAGTTCTTCAAGTGTCAAACGTGGATAGCAACTCGGAGTTGATGGATATCGTTTTAATTTATGATGAAGCAAGACATTTGTGTTATTGTGAAGCATTTGTTATGGTGACAAAAGACAACATTTGTGTTAGTTTGTTAACACTAGGTAAGACAGGTCCAAATGTATTTAGACGTCGGTGAACAAAATTTTGAAGAGTTATGCAGGGTTCATAGTTCAAAAGTAATAAAGAATTCCCTGACTTTTCCAGGTTTTCCCTGACATAAAAAAAAATCCAGGTCACTTGTAGTTCATTTTTACATACCAATTGGTGTTTATGCATTAAATTTTTTCTCGAATGGACTCCATAATATTTTTTATACCCTAACAACCTCTTATAAAGGTTTCAAAACCACAAATAGTTTTCTCTTTCAAGAACCCAGGGCCGGCTTTCACAAAATTTCCAGTTGCAAACATCAAATTCCCTGACTCACGAATATTTTTTAAATTCCCTGACCATTCCTTGTTTTTTTATGAAGAATAACACATTCCCTGACTTTTCCCGGTATTCCCGGTTTTCCCGGCCGCTACGTACCCTGTTATGTAACATCAGGTATGTCAAATTATTTTATTAATTAAAACCACTAATAAATTTTATCAATTAATAATAGCAATAGCGGCAAAAGCAGTTGAATTTGCTGATATAAAATAGGTGTTACAAATTTTATTTATTTCTTTCCTTGGGAGACAAATTATTTAAATTTTTTTGTCTGTTCATTTTTTATTACCCTTTGCCGTCGTACCAGTCGCAGACTGCATGCTTTGCCTTGCATAAGGTCAAGTTTTACAGTGGACCAATTTCCATGTATGTACTTTTAAATCATTTTCAAATTGTCCTTTTTGATTTTTTTTTTCAAAAAAACGGGGTTGGAAAAAACCCCCGAAAAATAATTTTTTTTTTTTTTGGATAAGTTCTGAATCACCCTATATATTGTTCAAGCACGTAATAGGTATCCAGATGTGCGTACATTTCATGATTATTTGAGACCCTAATGTTATTCAAAAAGTACGGTTGCCAAAATCAACTCGATGCTGACATGAAAAATATTGCAAATTGTATTTTCACATAAAGGAAAACAGAGAGGATCACACATTAATATAAATTAATAATTCAAGTGTGAAATTTTTGGTTTAGGCAAAACTATTTTCATAAAAAATAACCCGACCTTTTGGCGTAAGGGTTATCATTAGTATTGATTATGCTAACATTTACGGATTTTTTTTTAATTTGTTATGTCAAAAAACATCGAGTAATGTACATGTTGCAGCATACTGCATGATTCTATTTTTTTAATTAACAATTTTGTCATTTATAACAGTAACATAACAAAATTAATTGAAAAAATGTTGAATAAAAAAAAATAAAATAAACAGTGTACCTGAACATAAATATTCCTTACTTTTTGAAAAATATATTGTATAAGTTAATTATAAATGCACTGTTTCAATCATTCAATGTGCCAACTTAAATTTCTAGTCAAACTGAGATAACATGTTTTTACTTAAAGATCTGAGCTAGCATGTTTTCCAAGCTTAATTTGAGATAGCATGTTATCCAACCGAAATTTGAGATAGCACGTTTTCCAACCGAAATCTGAGATAGCATGTTTTCGTACTAAAGCGTCGATAGGTTTATGAAACATAGTCCAAAAAAAGGTTTAAGCAACATGACCCAACGACAATTCCTATTTACTAATTGACGTGTTTTAGCGTTTCTGTGAAAATGCAACACAAAATAAAATACAAATTTTTTGCATTACTTCTGGGACGCACTGTATATATTGTGTCTGTAATTACATAACCAGAAAAAAAAAAGGTTGATAAGTACTTCTACAGAGTACTATTTTTCCTCACAATGTTTCACTGTTTCACCGTTTTGAAAGACATATCGCTCTTTTCTTCAGAGGAAAACAAAACTCTGAAAGTTTTACAGTTCCTTCTGAAAAGTAATTAACAATGCCAACCAGTCCAGAAATTATCTAATTCTTGGCAACTGCCATTGAAGCCTGCAAACCAAAATTATGCTTACTTGAGAAAGTAGCGGCATCCTCCTTCAACAACCTCAGTTCATTTCTCAGCTTCATCATGGTTTCTGAGACAATAGTTTTCTCATTCTCATACTTAGCTTTGAGATTCGTTAGTGCGACTTCAGCTGTATTCTTATTAGATTTAAGGACGGTTCTAAGAGTGGCGATTTGTTCCCTCTTTGTAGACAACAAGCTCTTGAGCCTGATAACTTGTTCTTGCAGTTCTTGAATCTCAGATTCACTGTTCTCATCTTTAAGTGCTGCAAATTAAAAGCAAATATAAGGTTATAAATAACTTTAAATGTATATACTTACATTCATATGATCCATCTGATTTGTCTCTCTTAATTTTGGAAAGTTCGATTGTGTTTTCAATAGCATTTCGAAGGTATTTTATTTGATCTACTACAGTACAAACATTTCTTGCTAGAACCGCAGTATCATTTAAGGTTTCTAGGTCGTGTAAAGGTATGTCACTCTTCAGACGACTCCTTAGTAGTTCTAATTTACTCATTTCTCCCATTGGAGGAGCAGTTTCAGTCACTGAAATATACAAATTAACTTTTGTTAAAACCATGAATAAAAAACAAACTCACTTGGTGTCATGCCTTCTTTTTCATGATCCAGTACAACTCTGGTAGGTGTTTGGCCATTGACAGTACAAACGTGATGATACAATTGAGCTAATTCTTCAGTGACAATCTGTAAATTGTTTTGAGTTTCATCGAGAGAGGCTCCTGCTTCACTAGCAAATTCTCTAAGCAGTTTCAAGTCTCCTTCAAGATCCATGCTCTTTTGTTCAGTGTCCAAAAGGTTATTCTTTAGGTTTGTGATTTCGTTCCTTAATTGCAATGTAGCATCCGAGATATTTGTTAATTTTTCAAGTTCCCTTATATCCCTCTTAAGCTGCTCAATTTCCTTGGTGGATAACTTAAACCATTGCTGATATTGGTTGATGACCTTGTTAAGTTCCTCTTCTGGTTTGGATAGGTTTTTGTCGACATTTTGAGAAAATTGTTGCAGAGAATCGACGTGAGCTGCCAACTGTGTAAGTCGAGCCACAAATACTTGTAGTTCCCCTTGGCTTTTCTCCACCATACTTTGGTTTTCCCTCAAGCTTTGTGTTAGAGATATTTTCTCCTTTTCTAGTGACTCGAGCTGCTTTTCCAGTTTCCTAAGTTCATTCAAGTGCACTTCTGAGAACAAATCCACTTGTTTGCCATCAGGAGATGCTAATTCTGAAGCATTTCCACTAGATAAACTGGCCTCAATATGCTTCAGTCCTGGAATATCATCCTCACAGTCGCTTCCTAGATTTGTATCTTCAGTAATGCCACGTATACTATAAGCCAAGTTGTTTATATTGTAGAAAGATTCTCTGTTAATCTGTTGGTCTAGTTCTTTCTTAATGGCATATTTAGCTTCTCTTTCACTCTGTAAGGATTCCAAAGCCTCTTCCATGTGTTTCTCGGCGATTTTTTTCAAGTTTGTCAATTCTTCGACTTGTAGATTTAATAAATCCATCTCCTCATGTAAACGTCTGATTTCATGTTTCAAACTCTCAAACTCAACTTGAGAGCTTTTTAAAGCCGAGACCTGTTTCTGTAGGGCAATATTTTCTTCCTCCAGTTCTGAATAGTCCGTAATAAGACGGTTTTCTCGAAATTTAACCTCACGTAGTTCAGCTCGCAGTTTTTTACACTCCATACCCCGGTCCTCCTTGTCTTTGCCCATGTCATTATTTTCTTGCAGCATCCGATCTCTTTCCGCAGTGACACGTTCCAGTTCATGTCGACACTGCTTAACTTCATTTTCTAGTTCAATTATTTGAGAATGTAGTGACGTTTCTCTAGCTGCCGATTCATGAAGTAGTGATTCTTCTGTTTCAATACCAGTCTTTGTTGTTACTTTGTGACTAGATTGAAACTTAGCAAGGGCCTACAAAATAAAACTTGTTTAAAATTTGTTTACAAAGCTGCAAATGAATTCTATATACTCGTTTTATTCCAGTTTCACAGCAAATGTGATTTGTATTCGATTATTGAAATTTACTTAATTTTAAGAAAAATATAATTTTTTTAAATTAAATTGTATAGTTGTTTCTTGGTACCATCACAGCTTATAGAGATAAGCTATTTCACTTCTATTTTCTACATTTTTTATACCCCAATACCCATTATTTAATAATAAATTATATCTGCATATATCCATGGTGTAACCCAGTAACGTTTAAAAAATGAGAGCACATTATTCAAATATTAACAATATGTATTTCCTTGTATAAACATTTGTCACTGGCGTTTTCATTTTTGAAATGCAAACAGTTTAAATATTTCTGACCAAATTTTCAAGACTAAATGCATCAATAAAATGAGAAAATATTAAAAACTGTACTGAAGCATAAGGACATTATTTTGAACACCTTTAATTAAATATTTTAAATTTATCGCAAAACAATAAAATAAAAATAAAATAAAATCTGCATTACAAAAATTAAAAAAAAAATTCCAGTGGCGCTCACTAATATTTGAAAAACATGTAAGAAGCATAATATATTACATCTGCGCCACTGGTTTACCCTATATCTAAGTCACTGATTTAAGTTGAACTTATTTTTTTCATGTATGCTACTTTATTCATATATACCTAATATGCATAAAATTTAAAGATATTTAGTTATAACATTTTTTATTCAAAAATTTAACACTGTCTTTCAAACGACATATGTTTATACAAGAAAATATCCTTAAATTTGGACAAGATAAACATTGCATTCTTGACATGCTACAGACCTCCATATGTACTTAATCATTGACTATTAATATTGTTATAGTACACGATCTAGTTCTCAAGTGTATAATAATATTTTAAATGAGCCCTTACTATTAATTAAAAAAAATATGCATTTAAATATATTGACAAATAATGTTTTAACTAATATTTTCTTCTAATTGACAAGTTTAAAAACAAAAAAAAATAGTAAGAATTCTAATAACGTAGTACATTGAACTAGGTATGAGGCTAAATTATAAAATATACATATATTTAGAAAATGTTACACTTTCAAAATAAAATAAATAATCCATTAGTCTGAATATATGTACCCACCACAAATTAATCGTAAAGCGAAAACAGCACTTTTAATTTTATACATTCCAATTATAGAATTGAATTTTAGATAATTAACTAGTAATGCAAGAGAATGAATAAAGCTTGGAATCCAGCATTTTAAGCATGAAAGAATTTTTAAATTTTTATGGAAAATTTCCACAATATACTAATAAAAATAAAACATATTGGTTGCAAAAAATATTACAAAATAAGAAAATCTTACAATTTCAGATATTCTCTCTTTTTTACAAAAATGTAAGTTTCCAAATAATTATTTAAAAAAATTTAAGAGATTTTGCCGCCATCAACAAAACTAAGTATTACAAACGGATACAACTGTTATATTACTTCTAAACTTATTCAAAATTCACAAACAGATGCAATTACATTATTCTTGACGTGTCATGTACAATTTGTTAACAAAAAAAATGCATTAAAAAAACTGATTGTGTCTTAAGGTATTGTACCTATACAGTACTATGAAACAACGAATTTAAAAAATTTGGGAACAATTTGTTATTATCTAATTTACCTCTTGGGTGATATTAAGTTCGTGTTTGGTATTTTCATACAGTGATTCAAATTCTTCACATTTTTGCTGCAATTCATTTTTTTCTTCTAAAAGAACCAGCCCATATTGGGCAGACTGCACTTTTTCGCTACTAGCTTGGTCCAATTCTCTCGTTAAGCGTTCGATTTCACTTCTCAATAATTCAATATCACTTGCACTGTTTTCTTGAGAAGCCATTTTTTGACAATTATTTTTTGTGAGACTTAAAACTATGATTTATAATAATTATTAACAGGAAAGATTTTTGTCAAAACATGTCATTGTCAAAGAAGAAACGTCACTACAATTTGATATTTGACAGAAAAAAAAAACACCAATTACAAGAAAGCGGGAGAATCAAATATTGGTTTCATTCATGTTTCATTAGTGACATTCACTTGGAAACCAGAATTGTTTGTAAATAAAACTAATACAACATATTAAAAATTTGTGACATTGTTTTATATAGATTTTAATTAAAAATATGAGTTCAGATTTTAGAAGAGATTGGGTGAAAAATAAGGTTACCAAATATTTTGGATTATCTTCTGACAACTATTTTGAGGAAATGCTAGAAAACACCGATGACTTGGAAGATAAGTTAGCCTCATACTTAGATGATGATTTTATGTACCAGGAAGAGAACAAGATGTTTTTTTACGTCTACAAAACATCTTACGAAAAGTTAATCGAAGAAGAAATAATGGTTGCTGAAAAGGGTAACAATACCTATCATATTTTTTTATAGACAGCAATTTATATATATAAGTTACTTATATTATAACAACTAAATAAAATATTCATATAATTGTAAAAAAACATTTCAATCAAGTTTTCTGTCAAATACTCATTCATATACATAAATTTGTGTCGGTAATTTTTATTTGGATTTAAATTTAATTTTTTACTCCCACTCCTGACGCCTGACCTGTCAGTCTCCTCCCTAGATAAATGAGTCTCCTCTCCTAGAATGCAGTGAATGTACAGAAACGTCAGTTTATTCTTAGTTCTGTAATATTTAAAAATTTAAATTTAAATCGTCAGGATAAAATTAAAATTTTTCCAAATAAAAACCCTATAGTACACGAACCATATAATAGGAGGTTGTAAATATCGTATCTCATAAAATAGTTATCTTAAAATGTGACGAAGAAATAAATATTATAAATAGTTGCTACGGTTAATACTATTTATTAAATTTTATATTTAGTAGGTATATTTACTAATAATGTTACTTATTTAAAAGAAGAACTAAATCAAGCAGTTAAAAAATATTTCAGTAAAAAAACCTGATGTCACAGAAGATGAAGCAGTTCAAATTGTTTTACCTAAGAAGAAAAAAGGTAAAGGAAAAAAAGACAAAAAGAAGAACGTATCAAAATCCGAGACACAGTCACCTATTCCGGTCTCGGATGGTTAGTATTTTTATATAAACTTAAAAATTATGTGTTGCCAAAAATATAATATACATATTTTGCAGAACATTTTAAATATATTTTGTCACTATTTAGCAGCTGAAGGCACAGACGGTAGCCCGTCAGAAGGAGAAAATCATCCTGAAATTATTAATGGTACAACAGTAGAGCCTGAAAGTAAAGAGGAATCCCCTGCGAATGAAGAAAATGTAAATACGGAGTCACAAGCTACTGAAACCGAGGCCTCTACTCTACCTTCACCAGAAGTTACAGATGTAGAAGAAAATATTGATGGTATGTTATTCTAGAAATTGAATAATTGAATGTGATAGCTTATTATTTTTTTCATTAGGAAGTCCTCGAGATACAAAAGGCAAGAAAAAAGGAAAAAAACAGGATAAGGGAAAAAAGAAAAAAAAGAAAATGACTTCGGATGTTGTTGAGGAACCAACTGTGGTGGAAGAGGAGGAATATATATACGTACCTGTGAGTAGTTTATAGTTATATCAACTAAAAAAATAATTAAATCGGACCAATTTAAACAGTACAAAACTATCTTAAAATAACACACATATTCAGTATCTCGACTTGATCATCCAATAAATCTGTGTTAAAATTTGAATGTTACTTGCATTCAACTTATATTAAACGTCAGTTTTAACAAGGCTGTCAATCTTTTAAGAAGAATAAAAGTTTTTCTTTGGATTTGTTCTGAGACATTACTCAAAACTTTATATTTTTGTTTCAAACATGTATGTATGTATGTTTGATTAACTTCGTTTATTCAGTACTGTCATTACCCAATTATTAAATTTTCTTTTAATAAGAAAGAAAACGCAAATTCTTAATAGATTTATTCTTGGTAAAGGGAAATCAAATAAAATTAATAAATTACTACTTTTAACGAACTTGTTAGATTTGTATATTTTCTGCGATTGTTAACTTCTGTACTGGTTGGTAACGCTCCCTGGTACGCTCCTTAGGTAGGTGCTTTCCCAGCTTGGCACTGGACTTCCGGTCCCACCAAGCTTTCCTTCCCTAGTTCTTAAACCTACTATTGCTAACAGTCCTGGCAAGCTGAAGTGTCCTTATCTTTGGTCTCTACCCTGGCTTTGGTAACAGTCCAACTAGGTAGAGACATTATTTACTTCATTACCTCCAGATCTGTCATGGGTAACAGGTAGAAACATTCTTTACCTGGTGGGCCCCAAATTTTTACGTAGACATACCATGGCAGTAAACATGCAAATGACTTTTCTAATGCTAGTATCACGATTTTAGCAAATTATTCAGAAATTAGTTACTGATTTTGCATTGCACGGAGGGTTTATAAAAGTCAACGATTGCCATATTGATCCAGACAAACGCATTTTATACATGTATCGTAAAACCGAGGAAGGTATTCCCAACTTTGATCTCCCCGAGCAGGCCGACCTTGAAATGCCCAATTATTTTTTAATTGGAATGACAACAGGAAATTTTCTTCACTCAATAACAACCATTTCAAAAAAGGTGGGTATCTGTTGGTTTTAACAGAACATTACTAAAATGGTCATGTCCTTTTTTTTAGTTATTTGTACCACTCTTTCAAAAATCATTTATGGAGCCAGGTGTAAAGAAGATTACTGCCGCAAATAAGCATAGGAGATCAACATTTGACGAAAAGACTGGTCAAAAACAACAATCACTAAGCAAAAGAATATCACTGAAGTCTCAACAGCAGTTGTCGTCACTGCAGGAAAAAATATTACATGCTGATGAAAGGGATAATATTGATTCCAATACCATACCAATTAGAAGTGAACTTTTGGGTGAGGTTGAAGGGCTCATATCTGCTTTAGATTGGTAATTCTACCAGCGGTGATCTCTTAACAATCACTACCTGAAAAAATTATTGTATTTTAGGGTTAGCGATCATGTGGAAGATGAACTTGATTTACCGATGACGGATTTAACCGATATACTCTATTCGGGTCGCACTGATGAGGAGCTGATTCGAGATCCTAGTGTAATTGCTAATTTGGAGGAAGTTGTAATGGGTTGGGAGAGACACATTCTCAAGCTTATAGAAATTTACTTGGCAAAGGTATGTTTAACTTTTATATTATATACCAAATCAAAACGTGTCGTATTTTTTTTTTTTTTTTTGAGGCCTACATAGAGCTTGCAGCCCTGGGTCCCACCCCAAACAAAAATTGTAGCTACGTCCATTGTTACTGAAAAACGTCCAATTCAGGTTCACTCAATTCATCTTTTGCCAAATGGCACCACCAATATTTCTTGACACTGTTAGATACAGAAGTAAATCCACTTTGTATCGATATAATGTCTATACTTATCTCCAACAGTTTTGGAAAAATGTGTGATAATACCTGACTACACACGCAAAGACTTATTGGAGCGATAAATTGTACCAAATAATCGTCAGATAAATCGTTAACAAAAATCTTTCAGACAAATTTTAGAGAGGACACTAATGCGAAGTTTTATTGAATCGAATTATGGTACAAAGTTTATCTGACTGTTTATTCGTTACATCTGTGTCATTCACAAAAATTTATCTCTAAATTTGGTAAAATTATTCTGTCATCGTTGATTTTTGGAAGTCCAAAAAATCAGAACAATTTATTTGTTACTCGTAAGTATAGTTTGCTCGAGTGTTCTACGAAAACATGAAAAAAACGACTTTAAACGCGTTTTATTACCTTGAAATCATGGGTTATGTGATTATAAAATGACGCAGAATAAATAAAAAACGAACAACGTGGGTTAAAAAAACATGGTTATTGAGCAAAGAATACAATACGTCACTAATTTCTTCTAACTCTCGTTTTTAATATTTTTATTTGTATATTCTTGTGAGGTCGTTTTCCATAAACACGGATGATTATGATATAAATCGATCAGTCCACTAACAAATTCTTTTGATGCCATATTTGAAATTGTAGTAGGTTCTGAACTCAACACAGAAATTAACCGACTTTACATATCGCGTAGATATTTCCTCCAACATACATACTAACACGCAGATGACGCTCTACAAAATATAGCCCGATAATTCACGACAGATTTATCTGCCGTTTAATCACTGTGTTAGTGTATGTGACAAAATAATCGCTCCAAATTATTTGGCAGCAATTTAACCGCCAAAATATTGGTATTTTTCAATTTTTCTTTATGACCCAAACTAGCAGTTTTGTCTTTACAATTTATGCAATTTAACGATAAATCGGGCACATCAGTCGATAAAACTGCTCGCGTATATTCAGCTATTTAATGGTAAATTGGCAATGAGTAAATTAATGAATATCTAAGGGGGGAAACCATTCCAGGCGTTTCTCAGGATTTTTTTTGAGTGGGATTAATTATAATTTGATGAAACTTTAACATTATTTTATCAATATTTTGAACTACATTTACACATTTTTTCAAGTCACTTGCGTTGAAAATGCCAAAGTTATGGGCTGTTGTCCACCGAAGGTCGTTGTCCGAGTTGGTTCTTCAGGGGAAATGTGGAGGTCGCAATTTTCATCTGAAAGCAAAATCGTTGTTTTTCTGCATTATTAACATGTTTTCTAATATGAATCACATCGCGGGTAAAAATTAGAAAAATTGAAGTTATGACATGTGTTTGAGGAAAATGTATCGAATTTCACCATTTTTTTTTCAATTATTTTAAATAAAAAAACACCCTTAAGATTATAATATCATCTCAATTGTTGGTTCATGATCTTTGTAATTTCATAAAGAAAAACACTTTCAATTTTCATAAACATCAGTCATAACTTTTTGAGCCAGAGTGAATCCAAGTTGAACCCGTGAATCAAATAAATGTCGTTTCAAGAAAAACGCATTTCAAAAAACTAGAAATTTGAAAAAGTTGTCAATAATATAGACATAGAGTGCTTTCCAATCAATCAGTGATATAACAGTCCTTCTTCTTCATTATAGGCATCATTTTGAGCTTGCATCTGTTCATTTCTTGTTTAATAAGTGACTAGATTACCTGAACAAGCGCTCCGCCCTACCTGCTGTGCACTCGTGTACTGACCTGTTAGGTGTTCGGTTTTAGGCTCAAAATCGGAACAAATAGGAATTTCGTTTTGAAATTTTTGCAGCGTATTGAATAGTTATACTAACAATTTATGGAATAAAAAAAATTCTATTTTTTTAACCTCTTAATGTCGTTTGCCCCCTCATCTAAAACTCTTGTCAAAGATAGTATTTCAACATACACCAGTTTTTTTTTAAGAATGCCAAGCCCTAAGTTAGTTTAAAAAAAAATAGTTATCTATTATCGTCCAAAGAAATTGCAATGTCTCATAAACTGTCTTTTAACCGCAGACTTACATAGAAAAATATTGGTGAAGGTCAATGACTGCTATATACCATCACTTTTCCTTGTTCTGTATTTTTTAAATAAAGTTATGTAAAAATGTTTTATCACAAGTCAAAAAAATTGTAAAATATCTTAAAAAGCAACAGAGGTATTAAAATTAAAATATATTTTCTAAATATTTTAAAATTGACACTGTATTTTGAAAAAGCATCCTCCCTAGGAATCTGTGGTTGAAGGCAATGTTTTGTAATTCCCTGCATGTTTAATATTTTATTTCAAATTATACGCTTTACAATTTTCAGACACCCGCAGGTAACGGTCCCCTGCCAGAATTCGAATATTGGCATGAGAGGGAAACAGCATTCAGTTCAATTGTAGAACAGCTGAAGAAACCCACTTTGATACGAATTAGCAATATTTTGGAAATAGCCAGATCACCTGTTATAGATGGTTTCATCCATTATCAGGTTGACTTGAAAAGACATTATCTGGAGGCAAAGGATAATGTTAAATTTTTGTCGACAATCAAAAGGCATTTAAAGGTTAGTTGTTTATTTCTCTAGTGTTATTATATTCAATTATTTTTTGCATAACCATATTTTATGAGATCTGATTCTAACTGCGGAATACCCTGAGGTGGGTAAGCATGATCAATTCGAAAACTGAGATATTTGACAANAGTGTCTGATCTCTGGAATTTTTTTTTTTTAAATTTTGTCGGCCTGTGTTATTTACAAGGGTTTGTCCATTAATCACGTGAGGTTTTTAGGTCACTTTCTACGCCCCCCCCCCTATATCAATAAAAAAACCAGTGGCGGTTGTCAGCCAGCGCGGGCGGGGCGACGGACGATCTTACAAAGATCGACCACGTCAATTGCGCGTTACTTATGGTGATGTCATATCGCAAATCGCAGCAAGGCATTCTCGGGTATGGTTGTGCTAAAATATACACGTGATATGTAACAACAACCCCCCTCCCTCATTGTGAGCAATAATGATGTTATCCAAAAAACCCCCCCTCCCCTATTTGGACCTCACGTGATTAATGGATGACCCCAAACGTATTTCATCCTTGACAAAGACCAATACACAAAAATAGCTGTGATAAATAAGATCTTACTATGTCTACGTTTTACTTAGGATTGCTTTTTCAAGCGGCCTCCTTGCAGATTATATTAATATATAGGGTGTCCCAAAAATATTTGACAGGCACGTAGGGGTAGAAAAAGGGTGGAATTCTGAGACAAAAAGTCCTTTGGGTTTTATTTGTCTGATGCACTCTTAATTAGTTAGGAATGCCGAGTGGTAGGAGGTAGGATTTCAAATTTTTTTCTTTTGATACTACCTACTTAACATTTGCCCATTTAATTAAATTTCTTTTTTTTTTATGTATATTTTAAACATAAGTTTTTCTGTAGCATCTTCTGGATATAATAGATGCTCACAAATTTTCTACGTAATCAACATACTAAGACAATAAAAAGCAAAATAATAGATTTTTTTCTGTAATAATATTTATTGTATGGATAGCAAAAACATGAAAAACAATATTTGTGGGTGTCTAGAAATGAATCAGTCGTACTTCAAGATGACTCCTTAGGTGAAACTAAATCCTTTTGGATCAAGTTATCTTAATACAAATTTTGCTCTCTGAAAAGATTGAGACCCCAAAAAAAAAATTGATTTAATGTTTTTTTAAGACACACGTAAGTTGAAATAAAGAGTTTTTGGGATGATCAGCGACCCCTAAAACCCCCGTATACCAAATTTGGCGCGAATGTGTTATTTTTTGAAAATTTTGTCGGCCATCTTGGATCCGCCAACTTGAATTTTGCAAAATTGACCTTCGATCCGTGATCAACGACCCTGTAAAACCCACGTATACCAAATTTGCCGCGAATCTGTTATTTTTTGAAAATTCGTTCTGCCCAGACAGATACAAATCCAATTAAAGGGCAGGAGAAACAATAAACGATTACATAAAAAATCATAATATATGAAAAATAGATTTGAAAATACAAGCTTAATTACATAACTACAAAGTGAACACAAAATAGTTTAATAAAATGTTATAAATAATTTAAAATTGTAACATATAAAATGATGGTCAGGTTATAAATCTAAATTTAAAATACAACATCTTATATTACTGACGGTACAGTTTAAAATATCAAATTTGGTACTATAATCATTTACATAATATGTACACATTTGATAAATTGGAGAATGTTTAAGAACATTTGTTCTCGGAGTTGACAAATAAAATAATACATTTGAGCGAGTTCGAACACTAGGAATATTAAAGTAAATACTACTCAAAATGTCAGGGCAATCTATATACGAGGACAACAGTTTATACAGAAAAAGTATGGAAAAATAGACCCGACGCAAGACCAACTCTTTAAAGTTAAATTTATTTAGCAGTTCTAACTGCGGAATACCCTGAGGTGGGTAAGCATGATCAATTCGAAAACTGAGATATTTGACAAATTTTCTCTGAACTTCTCCAAGTTAGAAATATGAATCTCATATTGAGGATTCCAGATAACGGAAGCGTATTCTAACTTCGGCCTGACAAATGCATTAAAGAGTAATGTAAGGGTAGAAACATCCCTAAAATATCGCGAATTCCTCATAATAAAACCCAAATTCTTGTAGGCGTTAGATATAATATAATCAATATGGGGAACAAAAGTCAATTTTACATCAAAGATAATACCTAGATCTTTAAGTTGTGTGCATCTATTTAAAATAACACAATTTATATTATAGTCAAACTGAATAGCAATTTTTTTTCTGGTAAAACTCATAACATTACACTTGGAGATATTCAATGACAACTTATTATTTTGGAACCTTATTTTTGTATATACAATGCATTCTTACAAACGATATTATAGTTTTTAGTTTATATTTTTATACTTATTTCTGGACAGAGATTTCTTAATTTTTAATCAGAAATAGTTAAAAAAAAATAATTAACTCTATAATAAAATATTAACTTCTGCTTGAGTTGGCAGGAAAAGGAACTCTGGAATAAAATGTTTTCCTCATTGTAATTGTAATGCAAAGGGACAATTGTGTATTGGATTCCATCGTAGTTCTCAATGGTTGAACAATTTTCAGGCTTTTTGCCATGTCGGTTTAGATTTCTCGACGTTTTGAGAGACATTGCTTTCTTCTTTAGAAAAGAAAATTTGAAACTTGGTTTCATTTAGCAACCAGCCCAGAAATCGTTCAGCCATTGAAAATCATTTTATAGTATATTTATAATGGATTACTAACCTTCATTCTATTTTTAATATTTTTAGACAATTACATTTGGGACAGATTTTCAAAAAATTATAAACTGCATTCCTCTGTTGATAGAAGGTTTGCATTTAATTTGGGTTTTATCAAGGTATTATAACAGCGATGAAGTTATGGTACCTTTTATGGAAAAAATTGCTTGGTGTCTATTGGATAAGGTGCGAAAGAGGCTTAATAACGAGATGTTGTTTAGGTAGGTATCTGGAATTGAAGTAAATTTAATCAAGTAAATTGTGTGAAGACTACAGATATATAAATTTTACAGAAAACCTATCAGCGAAGTGCAAAAATTAACGTTAGATGCTGAAACTATGCTGGAAACATGGAAAAGTACTTATATGGAAACTAGGCAAAAAATTGAGGATTCCGGTAAAGGGGAGCGCTGGGAATTCGATAGGAAAAGATTATTTGCAGCTTCGGATTATATGGCAACGGTTTGCAAGGACTTATATGAAGTAGCTACGGTAATTGAATATTAGAAACTATTTTACAGATTTATTTTATGAAATATTTCAATTAGTATAAATGTTTATCGTGTAAAACTGGCTTTAGGTAATTTATCACTTTAAAAATATATTTGGAGCTGAACTAAGGGCTATCGTCAGCGATCCCCAAAGCATCGACAATGTAGCAAAGCGAGTTGACAGACTTGTGGTTCAAATCGAAAACACAGACTTTGATATATTTGATGCGAACAGTAAGGAAAACTGGGAAGCCATTATGGAATTGTTCCGTAAGGAAGTCCATAAATTAGAACTTGAAGGGGTTAATTTTATAGATCAGAGTTTTAAAATGATAAGATCTTCCGAAGGTGCTTTAGAAATGCTTCTGAAATTCAAGCACATTGAAACGCGTCAACTGATACAAAATAAGTTGATGTTAAAATTTGATGTGATATTAGATCAGTATATGAAGGAGCTGTTAGCCGTCGAAGACCACTTTACGGTAAATATCAATATTATAAAGTCTCATAAAATCAATATGTTAAATGTTTTTAGCGGAATAAGCGACATCCCGTTCTATGTAGAAATATGCCTCCCCATGGTGGTGCCATCTACTGGGTGCGACTTTTATATTTTAAACTGAAGCGACCCATTTTGAAATTTCAAAAAGTTGAGGAGTTGATGCAGTCTCACATGAAAAATCAAGTTTTCACAGCATATTTGAAGCTTGCCAAAGAATTGAAAGCTTACGAGCAGGGTAAACTGGAAGAGTGGTTGGAAATGTTTGGACCCACGATGGAACGAGCGATGCAGATGGATATACTGAAGCTTGCCAATTCAAGTAAAAGGAAGGAAGGCATCAAGCCTAATAAAATCGCTAGATCTGCTAGTTTTACTCCAATTCAGAAAAGTAAGAATTATAAGTAGAATTTGCGGACTTGCAGCCCATATCAGAATATTAATACTATACAAGGTGTTTCAGAAAACATGGACAAATGCTCAGGGGCGGATTCCTAACCTAAAAACAAAATTATTTTTTCATATCAACATGGATTTGATTTCGCTTCGTTCCTTAGTTACAGTTAAAGTTTTAAAATAAGATATTGTTTTTTCTAAAAATCTAGATTTCCACTTGAGGGAATTAAATGAAATTTGGACAACTAACTATTTACAACCGAATATACATTCCTAGGTATTATTATGTTGAACATAAATTGCAGGACCGGACTTACTTGCAAGCCCCTGGATTTAATCAAAGAAAAAACTGGTTCTCCGTTGAGATTTATAACACTTTCAACATTTAAAATATCGAAATCTCGAGGGAAAACGAAAAAGTCAATCAATTTTTGATCAAAATTAAGCTAGAATTTAGCCCATGTAATTATAAATTAGAAATCTTAAGAAAGAACTAATTTTTTCTTTGATTAAATCCAAGGACTTGCAAGCAAGTCCGGTCCTGTAATTCATGTTCAACATAATAATACCTAGGAATGTGTATTCAGTTGTAAACAGTTAGTTGTCCAAATTTCATTTAACTCCCTCAAGTGGAAATTTAGATTTTTGGAAAAAACATATTTTATTTTAAATCTTTGACACCCTGTAGCTCAGGAATGAAGTGAAATCGGACCCACGTTGACATGAAAAAATAATCTTGTTTTTTAGGAATCTGCCCCCCAGCGTTGGCCCATATTTTCTAAAACACCCTGTATAGTAACACTAAATATGAAAGTTAAGGAAATACATAAAAGTAAAAACACTTATCGGATATAATTTCAATGTCTCAAGAAAAATGGCGGTTCACTGTCCCCACCTACGAAGGCTGTCCAGGCCTACACAAGATGAGGCAGGATAAAGAGGGATAATCCCCCTCGATCCCAAATCATTGAGGCTAATTTCTAGCCATGGAATAATGGCGGTTCACTGTCGACTATTGACAAACGGCAGCATGTGGGAAATGCCAAAAAAATTACAAATACACTTTTAGCTGTTGTTATTATTCTTGATTTGTTAATGGAGAATGAAATTCATAATTACGATTGTGATACATATATGAAAAGTTAGTTTCATTAAAGCGGGTATCAACGGTTTTCACTTTTACACCAATGTTTGTATAAAGATGTGGAGAGTAAACAGAATCATTTATTAATTTAAAGCGAAGTCATAGATCGTCCTATTTTCAAGGGTAATTAACATCGAGAGCACAAATGAGAGTAGTCATACCCGCAGCCACTAACTTAAATACCCATAGCATCTCAAAAATGTATGTTGAAATTTAACGTCTAACGTCAGTACGAGGGTTGCCTTTTATATTTCAGGAATAGAGAACAAAAAAAGAAATTAATCATTGTGTATGGCTTTATTGTTTTTCAAAATATTCTCCAAGATCAATACACTTTTGCATGCACTTGAACCAATTTTTGAAGCTTTTTTCCGTTCCGATTGCGGTATCTCCAAAACATGCATTTTGACCATATCAACCGCTTCTTCAGCATCCGAAAAATGTTGACATCGTAATTTATTTTTGATGTGCAGGAATAAAAAAAGTCATTGGGTGCCAAATCAGGGCTGTACGGCGGATGATTCATCAATTCGAATTTTTCAGTTTTCAAAAAGTCTTGTTTGAGCCAATGTGTGAGAGCTCGCATTGTCCTGGTGAGGAATGATGCGTCTTCTGCAGTTTGTTTCCTTTATTTTTCTGAAAACTTCTGGCAAACAAATTGTGTAGCATTCAGAATTGATCTTCTATGGATGCATTAATGGTACAGTTACCACATGTCCAGTTTATCTGAAAAAACAGGTGACCATTTGCTTAGAAATGTGAACTACTTTTGTTGGATTTGGCTCATCTCTTCGAGGGCATTGTTTATTTTATGACAGTTTTTACACTTTTGAAATGTTTACCATAAAACCTTTGGGATACTCTATCAAACCACATTTGAAGGAATTCCCATTTATTTCTTTTCCCTTTTGGTATTTTAATTTACTTATGCCTTCAAGTAACAGCTACAGCTTGCAGTAATTTATAGAGACGTTCAAAATAAATGCATGGAACAGCGGACATAATGTTATGAACAACAACTAAAATAAAACTAAGAGATTGAATTGAATCTGTTACAAGCTGTGTATCCGAACTTGATTTATAAGTAGACATTATTTTAATGGAACGCGATTTCCATTTTTGATAAGGTAAGAAACAAAGTTTGCGATGGAAAAACATGTTCACTACATATTTTATATTGAAGTCGACCATTTCAAAGATACTTAGAATTTCACTAGTACATCGACAGGTGTAAGGATTATATTATAAGTCATCTAAAATATTTCTTTTTAAATTTATCACTATTATAATTTGCTAATTTGTACTAATTTGCGCTATGCAAAAATGTTGACATCATTTTCGTTCAAAATGAAATTAACATTTAAAAAAAATACAAAAACTTTTTTTTTCCAATGACGTCATAATTAAAAAAAAATATCCATATATGTACTTCAGTTAGCACCATTGATTTCCACATTGACTAGCACTTTATGTGTATTGTGCACACAAAATTTTCATTTCAGCATCCTCATTTCTTAAGAAGATATAGATATAACATTTTTTTAACTTCAACATCTAGTATTTCAAAACGGAAGACCTCAAGGACAAACTTTTATTTAAGAAAATTTCCTTTATTTTTGACATGTGTTACACTCTATATAATAATATAGGTGCAAAGATGCCAAGGCCATCGAGTAAAACCGGTTCCACCAAATCTGTCACTTCTATTATGGAACGAATCACTTTGAAGCACCTCACCTGGCACGAGATCATGGGTAATTCAACAGTGGCAGATTTGGGAATGCAGTTTGAGTTAAATTTTGACAACAGTTTATGGAGTTGTTTCCAGAGTGTGGAAATCCTGGAGACCCTACAGTTTAATTTACCGGAGAATATCAGAATGGTAGCCATTAGAAAAGAAAAACTACAGAAGTGCATAAATGAGGTGGAATCCATGGTTAATCAGTACACTGACCTAATAGACAAACTAAGTGACCCACAAGTAAGATATTTTTCAGCAACTTATATATAGTCCACAGTACAGGCCCCCTCTGGAAAGTTGATTACCACATACTTTATAACTCCTGAGGAGCTTTGTTTTGACGAGTCTACCACATTTTTCCTCTGCGACTTTTCTCGATTCCTCCGCTTTTCCACTCGGAAAAGTCCAAAAACATGGCAATTTCCCGGGGTCTTGAAAACTCAAGACCACATCTTTTATTTTTAGCTTAAGTAACTGGAAATTTTGTTGCAAATGCCGAGTTAAATTTGTCCGACAGAAATTCCTCCGACAATGACGTGTCTACCGGTCGAAACATGCCAAAATAACAGGGTATTGAAAATCAATTACCACATAGGTAATTTTTAGTAAAATTAATTGTAAATAATTAATTCAGTCAAAAAGTATTGTTGTGCGACAAATTTCAAGCCGCGTTTTTTCAGTCCGACAGCTGGAAATCGGAATTTTCACGGGGTATGATATATCGATTACCACATGTCGGACAAAAATAACACACGATAGAAAAGTGTTTTTTATAAGCAAAAATTGTAATGTCCGACAAAAATATATCCGCAAATCGTCAGTCCAACAAAAAATTATGAAAAAAATTTCATAAAAAATGTGCACATGTATTTATAATTTCTAATAAAGTATTTTCATGTATTAAGCAAAATTCCATATAAATATACAATGCAGGGTGTTTCAGAAAGACCTCCCGTAAATACAGGGGGTGAGGACGACAAAAAATAAGAATTTTTTGTCATATGAACTATATGTCTATCTCCTCTTCTCAAAGCTCAAGCTTACTTTGAGAAAAGTCACTTATTTTATAGTGTAATATTGTAAGAGTTTAATTAAAAGCCTTTTTTCTCGAAAATCGTCCACATTAGGAAGTTCTAACAAGAGTACATTATTTTTAGAAAATAAAATTGTACAATAGAAATTAGAGCCCGACTGGTAAAAAACCTAACCTTAAAAAAAATATAACTTAAATTGTAATAAGAATGTAGCATAACTAGCGCTTTCTATGAAATATACAAAAAATAATTAGACTAGCGTATTTGGCACCCTTAAAAACCTCGGGCTACCAAATTTCATAAAAATATTTCGCACTATTTGGAAATTTTCATAAAAATGTTATTTAAAAAATTTTATTTTGTCTCTCTGTATCTCGAAAACAAGAGGAGATAGACATAGAGTTCATAAGACAAAAAATTCTCATTTTTTATCATACTATCACCCTCTTTATTTACGGGAGGTCTTTCTGAAACACCCTGTATATATTTTTCGTTTTATTCTTGTAATTGTAAATCTCTATATGCTCAATTTAGCCAAATAAATATCGAGAAAAGAATTAAACGATTTCAAAAAAGTATGTATGGTGTAAAAAAATTATGCACAAAAGTTTTGGGATTTTCTTTTAGAAAAATAGGAAAATTTTTGTAAAGAAAAATAACAAACGCGAATGAAAACTTGAAAGAGAAAAAAGGATTTTTATATCAAGTATAATATTAATTTATTTAGAAATAATGCATTATGCACTAAGATCGTATTAATCGCCTCAAAAATAACTTCATTTGTTTATAACTTTTAAATTTTTAAGCATAAAATAAGCAATATTATAATTATTTATTTGAAACAAATAATAATTTACATAATAATAATTAATAACCATTTATAAATATGAAATTTTTGGAGTGAAAAAATTAAATTTCATCACGTTTATTGATTTATTGATTTTTTAATAATTTGCGGACATTAAATCGTCGGACACTTATATCACTATTTTGTACAGTAAATTTAAAAGTGGAAAAAATGAAAATTAGATATGTGGTAATCGATTTTTCATACCCCGTGAAAATTCCGATTTCCAGCTGTCGGACTGAAAAAACGCGGCTTGAAATTTGTCGGACAACAATACTTTTTGACTGAATTAATTATTTACAATTAATTTTACTAAAAATTACCTATGTGGTAATTGATTTTCAATACCCTGTTATTTTGGCATGTTTCGACCGGTAGACACGTCAATGTCGGAGGAATTTCTGTCGGACAAATTTAAATCGGCATTTGCAACAAAATTTCCAGTTACTTAAGCTAAAAATAAAAGATGTGGTCTTGAGTTTTCAAGACCCCGGGAAATTGCCATGTTTTTGGACTTTTCCGAGTGGAAAAGCGGAGGAATCGAGAAAAGTCGCAGAGGAAAAATGTGGTAGACTCGTCAAAACGAAGCTCCTCAGGAGTTATAAAGTATGTGGTAATCAACTTTCCAGGGGGGGCCTGTACTGTGGACTAATAAATTAATTTGTTAAAACAAGGAAATATTGTAAAGGTGGGTTAGATTAGGTTGGGGTAGGCATGCCAAACCGACACTGGAGTAATCGATATTAATGTAACCAATGGTTTTATAAGCTACAAGTTACGAGATAAGTCGAAGTAAGGGCTGACATTTGCCCACAAAATTTGGCAATTGTAGGCCGTCGGCATCCAAGGGACATTGAGAACGATGGTTTCAGATCTGAGAAATTACGAATTCATCATTACAATTTATTTTATTACCATATTACAACTGTTTAAACAACAAATTACCACTTTTTGAGGGACTCTTTCTTAAATCTGACGTCAACCATGCCACCCCCTTCCCACAGATGGCCTAACTTTCTCTAAAACTGTGGGCAATTCCAGTAATTAGACAGACCTCTTGTCCTGTATATCTCATGGAACTGTGCATACATCAGCTATGCCCTTAAATTTTTTTTTTGTTAATTTAACTCTGTGCTGAATACTAATCAATACATATGTATTAATTTAGATTGAGTTATAAAATTGTTAAAAATACTCAGTTTTACTTTACAAGAATTTTATACAGGATGGGTCACCAGTAACGCCTCAGTCGCTATGGACCAAACGGCAAATGTTACAGAAACCTGTTTAGGTGGGTATGTGTAGGTTGATTACGGCTACATTTTAAAAATATTTTGAAATATACAGGGTGTCCAGGAAAAGCGTACCATATCAAAGTTATGTTTTTTTAAATGGAACACCCTGTATTTTACTGCATTTTTGAAAGCACCGTAAAAAAATAGGTGAACTTTATTAAAGGTTCTGCATACCTAGGACTTACAGTTTGTGAGATATTTCAATTTTAGTGAAAATGCAGGCATAGCGTAGAAATTTAATATTAGCAATAAAAAAATAATTTTAAGGAAGCAGATTTGTAGGGTATATTTTAGACTCTTGAAGTTATAAATTGTTATATTTGTCATCACTTAGTATTATACAGGGTGTTCAAAAAACTACTGAATACTTCTCTCAACTTTAAACAGCAATAACTTGGTTATTTTAAATGGGACACCCAGTATATTTTTACTTTGGGAGTTAGGAAATTTAAAACTTTCAAACTGTGTATATGTTCCTTATACCTATCTCTAACGAATTGAAATATGAATAAAAGGAGAGGTCAATCGATCCTATCGGATAATTAGAAACGAAGAATACCCGAAAAAATCGGAAAATTTAGCGTTTTTAAAAAAATTCATTACTCCGCCATTTTTTAAGTTGTTGACCTGACCCTGTGCACAAAAGTAGTTAATTATATGTACTTTAAGTGTGCACAAAGCAGGTGCTGTCAGACCAGTAGTTTTGGCACAATTGTAATTTTTTGGTGCACTATTTTGCAAAAATTCTGGATACGTTGTAGGTGATCCGATTTTAATTTTTTAATAGAAGTATAATACTACAAAACGTATATTCTAATTATAACTCGATTATTTATTTGATTAAAAGAAAAATAATGTCAGATTCATATTCAGAAGAACATATGTACTAATGCTCCTTAAAAACTGACCCCCACTTAAATTTACACCCTGTATACTATATCACTATATAAAATTATTGAAATTAAATTTTTAAATACCTGTGTCAGGTTTCATGTATATTAGCCATTTTGGAGTTATTTAAAAAATTATGTTTTTAGCAGTGCCCCTTTATCACCCTGTAACTTTTTTACCAACCGTTTTCAAACCCAAGTTTATGGGAAACTTTCTGCTTAAGGAGGTTCGATAGATCTCTTGCGGGGCAGGCGGTACGGGGGAAGCCTATGCTTATACACGGGAGTTTCGTTGCGGTATCAACCTTACATAAATTTGAGCGAAGTAAATATGCTATTTATGAATGAAATTTATACAACACGTATTAGATTGCATATATTTTTCGTGTTTAGTGCATAGCAACTAATTTTTATTTGAATAAAAGTGTCTATTTATTCATTAAGAGCTTATAAAACTATGGGAGCATATATCCTTTATACTTAAAATTCATGAAATATTTTGAATGCATCATTGTTACTGCTTTGTTTTTTGATTTTATAACTCTTTTTTTATATTTATCTAATGATGGATGTGCTTTAAATGGCAAAATAGAAAAAAGAATTACTTAATGAGTCATCAAGATTACCTGGAAATACTTTTTAATATTTTCACTTGAATATCCTGCTTCTCAGACACGGATAATTTTTTGACAAAATTTGATTTGAACTACATACCTTTCCTTAATTTATATTGTAGAATCTATAGATGATGTTTAACCAATCTGAATCATTATCATATACTCTTCAAATAATTATTCTTTTAGATGTATCTGTTAAGAGACAATTTACGGAATGTCGAGCTGCATATACAACCGGGGTTGATGAGAATTAAATGGTCTTCTCTGGGCATCACCGAATATGCAGAAGAGTGTACGTCTCTAATAACGAATTTGCAGACTTTGTACATTCAAATCGAACACATAGAAAAAGATCTACATAAAAGAATAAGAACTTTGGCTAATTGCAACTTATTTGATTTTGTAACTGTGGAGGAAAATCCAGCGAGGTTGAGCTGCAAAGATTTCTTCAAAGTGATGACAGACATTCGCACAGAGAAAATATCAAAACTAATGAAGGTGTACGAATCGTTCAGTCCTATACTCATCAAGCTGGAAGTCATGGTCTTGAGTACTAACACAGGAAAAGCTCCCGCTATGGCGCCATATTATTTGTTCTGGGAAACAGAAATATACAAGGCATTTATACACATGGTTATCAGAAATTTTGAAACTTTGATTTCTAAAATAGATAAAAAGGAACTTCTCTTTCAAGTCGATGCTGTGGTAGTAATGCCAGAGGTAGTGTTGAGACCTAGTGCACCTGAAATCTATAACTTCAGTATAAAAAATGCTAAAGATTTTTTAAATAGATTGACGCTGTTCCCGAGGTGGTTAAATGAATCATGTATAATGTGCCATCCAATCAAAGTTTCAAATGAAGAGGAATTTTTATATTCCTTTTATGAGGAAATCCTAAAAGTGCATGATGTGGTAGAAGTCATAGGAAGAGTATCCGAATATGTTCAGAAAATCATTGCAGTTGTTAGTAAAGAATTACAGAAGTGGAAAAAGTACAGGAGTTTGTGGTCGTTTGAAAAAGTCTCTACATGCGAAAAATTTATATCAAAGAATACTTCTCTATCCATGTACGATGACAAATTTATGTTTTATAATGATATTGTTACACATATAAGAACTCGCAATAGCTATATTGACGCAGAGTGTATCAGATTAAATTTGGCACCATTATTTGACATAATAGAATTCCATTGCAATGAATGGAAAACAACTTTTGGAAATTTACTTGATACAGCGACTAAAACTACTATGGACGAAATGAAAGAAAAAATTGATAATCTAAAAATTTTGGTGCGTCGAAACATTAAAGGTTTAGATAGATTTAAGGCTATTATGCAAGCCATAGCCACAATTCAGAAAAGTAATATAAACGCCGAATTGGACTACTTGAGCTTTCAGCAGATTTACGGGATTTTGCGTCAACACAAGATAGATTTTCCACCAGAACATGAAGAAATGGCTTATAGACTGCAGAAGGAATGGAAAGAGCTGCTTCTATCTGCCTTGTACCGAGAACAGACACTCGAAGCTACTAAAGAAAGATTTGCAATTTTAACATTAAATGAGATTAACGAGTTTTGTGACATGCTTGCAGAATTTCTTGACAAATATGAAATTGAAGGACCTGGAGCTGTTGGGGAAGATCTGGATGCTGGTGTGAAATTGATGGATGATTATAGAGAACAGTTTGCAACTTTAGAGAATCGTCGCATCGAATTGGTCAATGCAGAAAGTTTGTTTGATATTCCTTTAGCAGATTACTCCAATTACTTAAAAGCTAAAACTGATTTTGAGGGTATGGAGGTATTGTACAAACAGTATAAATCTTTAAAGCATGCTCGGGAAGTATGGGGTAAAACATTGTGGGCAAATTTAAATCCTCAAGCATTAGTAGATGGTATTGATGGTTTTCTAAAAGAATATAGGAAGCTACCTAAGGAGATAAAGTTGCTTTCTGTTGGTCTAACCCTTGAACTGAAAATGAAGCAATTTAGAAATGTGGTGCCTCTAATGGTGGCCTTGAAAAATGAGGCATTAAGGGAGCGCCATTGGAAGCAACTTATGGTTAAAACAGGCAGGGAATTTGACATGTCACCGGACCGATTTACTTTGGATAACATGTTTGCCATGGAGTTACATCGGTATCAGGACATTGCGGAAGAAATTATTAACAATGCTATAAAAGAATTGAGTATAGAAAAAGGAGTAAAGGAAATAGCAGAAGTGTGGGCCACGATAAGTTTCCTTGTTCACAAGCATATGAAAGGCAATGAAGATCGTGGGTTCATAATCGGTGCAACAGAAGATATTATGCAAGTTCTTGAGGATAACTCAATGAATCTTCAAAGTATGGCCGGATCTCAGTTTGTAGGGCCCTTTCTCCCTCAAGTTCAGAAATGGGAGAAAAGTTTAGCTAACATCGGAGAAGTTATAGATGAGTGGTTATCTGTTCAAAGGAAGTGGTTGTACTTAGAAGGAATTTTTGTTGGAGGAGATATTAGGGCACAACTTCCTGACGAAGCCAGGAAATTTGATGACATAGATAAATCTTTCCGGAAAATTATGTTAGAAACCGCCAAGAGACCAAATGTATTGGAGTGCTGTAGTGCGGCGGGACGATTAGAGGAATTTCTGGGACTAGGGTATGGTTTAGACAGATGTCAGAAGTCCTTGAATGATTATCTCGACTCCAAGAGAAGACGATTTCCAAGGTTTTACTTTATATCAACTGAAGAACTTCTATCGATATTGGGAAGTAGTGATCCCAACGTAGTGCAAGATCACATAATAAAAATGTTTGATAATATAAAATCATTACGATTTAATTTAGATAACCAGGAACGTACCATATGTACAGCTATGATATCTGCAGAACGTGAGATTATGGATTTTAGAAACCCAGTTCTCATAGAGGGTAAAGTAGAAGAATGGATGAACGAAGTTCTTAAAGAGATGCAACGTTCAAACAGGTTTATCACAAAAAGTGCTATTTTCTACTATGGAAAGATCAGAAGACCGAGAGCGCAATGGATGTTAGAATATCAAGGCATGATTTGTTTAGCAGGTAGTGGGGTTTGGTGGACAGCAGAGGTTGAAAACGTTTTCTCTAAGATCAAAAAAGGAAATAAAAGAGCAATGAAGGAGTATTTAGAACAGCTCAATAAACAGTTAGATGAGATCGTACTAACAGTTAGAGCTGAATTGAGTTCCAATGACAGGAAAAAATTTAGAACGATAGCGATTGTTGAGGTCCATGCAAGAGATATAGTAGAAGGTTTTGTTAGAGATAGTGTTACTGATGCTCAGGAATTTGAATGGGAAAGTCAGCTGAGGTTTTATTGGATCAACCAACTGGATAATCTGTGGGTAACACAGTGTACTGGATCTTTTGAATATGGCTACGAATATATGGGATTAAATGGTAGACTTGTCATTACTCCATTGACGGACAGAATTTATCTAACAATCACCCAAGCACTGATAATGCATATGGGTGGAGCTCCCGCTGGTCCGGCTGGCACTGGGAAGACAGAAACTACCAAAGATTTAGCTAAAGCAATGGCATTACTTTGTGTTGTCACAAATTGTGGAGAAGGGATGGACTTTAAGGCAATCGGTACAACACTGGCAGGTTTGGCCCAATGTGGTGCTTGGGGATGTTTTGATGAATTCAATAGGATTGATATATCTGTGTTGTCCGTCATATCTACTCAACTACAAACTATTAGAAGTGCTCTATTAATGAAATTGGAACGTTTCACTTTTGAAGGTGTAGAAATAGCATTAGATTCCAAAGTTGGAATATTCATTACTATGAATCCTGGATATGCTGGCAGAACAGAATTACCAGAATCAGTTAAAGCACTTTTTAGACCCGTTGTTTGTATTGTACCTGACTTGGAAATGATTTGTTTGATTTCTTTGTTTTCTGATGGATTTTTAGAAGCAAAAGTTCTGGCTAAGAAGATGACAGTGCTATATAAGTTAGCTCGAGAACAACTTTCAAAACAGTTTCATTATGACTGGGGACTTAGGGCTCTCAATTCTGTTTTACGAATGGCTGGTGTCTTGAAAAGGGCATCTCCTGACATAAAAGAAGCCTTGGTCCTTATGAGAGCTTTGCGAGATATGAATCATCCCAAATTTGTATATGAGGATGTACCCTTATTTTTGGGATTGATTCGTGATCTTTTCCCTGGAATGGATTGTCCAAGAGTAGGTTATCCAGACTTTAATGCTGCTGTAGAGACGGTGCTTGCGACAGATGAATATATTGTGTTACCATATCAGGTGGATAAAGTTGTACAAATGTATGAGACGATGATGACGAGGCATTCAACCATGTTAGTGGGACCGACAGGTGGAGGCAAAACTGTTGTAATTCAAACTTTAGCGAAAGCTCAAAACTTAATGGGATTGCCAACAAAGATATTTACTTTGAATCCCAAAGCTTGTTCGGTAATCGAGCTTTATGGTATTTTAGATCCGTTAACACGTGATTGGACAGATGGTCTCTTATCGAATATATTTAGAGATATGAATAAGCCCACAGAAAAACAAGAAAGGCGATACATTCTATTTGATGGAGATGTCGATGCATTATGGATAGAAAACATGAATTCTGTAATGGATGATAACAAACTGTTAACTTTAGCCAATGGTGAGAGGATTATGTTGCAACAACCAGTCTGCGCTTTGTTATTTGAAGTTGGGGATTTGCAGTATGCTTCTCCAGCCACTGTTTCTAGGGCTGGTATGGTGTATGTCGATCCTAAAAATTTAGGATTTCAACCATATTGGGACAGATGGGTTTCCAGAAGAAAGCATGTGCCTGAGAGAGAAGCTTTCCAGGAGCTATATGAAAAGTTTATACCAGATATAATGGCTTACGTTTTAGAAGGAGTTTTAGGAACAAAACAAGTTAACCCTTTGAAAACAGTTATCCCACAGACTGGATTAAATATGATTACTCAGATGTGTTTCATGATTGATGCAATTTACCCACAGAACATTGAAGATGTTCGAGATCCAGAGGAACCAGCAGATCAGGATTTATTGACAACAATTTTTATTACTGCCATCTATAATTCAATTGGAGCTGCCTTATTAGATTCTGGTAGGAAGGATTTTGACGAATTTGTCAAATCATTAATTACAATGTTAAACGGGGATGACACTATCGATAATAAATGTGATTTGAGACACATTCCAAATGCATTCCCTTCATTTTATGATTATTTTCTTGATATTAAGGAGAGAGTTTGGGTTGCTTGGGAATGGTTGGTGCCAGAGTATATACATGACCGAGAAAAAAGGTTCTCTGAGATATTAGTACCAACCGTTGATACAATACGAACCACTTACTTACTTCAGTTAATGAACCAAATAAGGAGACCGATCATATTGATAGGAGAAACGGGGACATCGAAAACTGCTATTATTCAAGACTTTTTACGAAATTTGGATCCAGAAATATACATTTTATTAAATATTAATTTCTCATCGAGAACTTCTTCAATGGATGTACAAATGAATTTAGAATCTTCGGTAGAAAAACGAACAAAAGAGATTTATGGACCTCCTCTAGGAAAGAAATTGGTCTGTTTCATGGATGACATGAATATGCCACAGGTTGATGAGTATGGAACACAGCAACCCATCGCTCTCCTTAAGTTATTATTTGAAAAGGGAGGATTTTATGATAGAGGCAAAGATCTTAATTGGAAAATTCTTAAAGACATATCATACTTTGCAGCAATGGGTGTTGCAGGGGGTGGTCGAAATGAAGTTGATCCCAGATTTATGTCCATGTTCACTGTTATAAATTTAGTATTTCCATCTGTAAATACTCTGAAGCATATATATACATCAATTTTATCTGGGCATCTTTCAATATTCGATGAAGAGGTTCAAATTGCTTCTACTCTAATGGGTATAACCTTAAATTTGTACAGTACAATAATTATTCAACTACCTCCAACACCCAGTAAATTTCATTATATTTTTAATATGAGAGACTTATCAAGAATAGTAGCTGGACTGTGCATTACAACTCCTCAGTTTTTCAAAACCGTGCCTCAAATGGTACGAGTATGGAGAAACGAATTTACTCGAGTAATATGTGATCGTTTGATAAACTCTGAAGACCAGAATTTAATGACGAATCATATAATTACCCAATTACGCCAAGTTTTTCCTAAAAAGGAGCCTCCTCCTAAGGTACAAGTGGATGAAGATGAAGATTTTGCTTTGGAAACCGAACCAGAAGGGGAGGAACAAGAAGCACCAGAGTTAGAGGAAATTGATATAGTTGACTATACGATGAGGAACCCTCTTCTTTTTGGAGATTATCGAAATGCTTCAAATGAGGGAGAACCTCGACACTACGAGGATCTTTTAGATTATGAGGCTATTTACTTTTTGTTTCAAGAAATTCTTGAATTATATAACGAACAGAAGGAAAAAGTAAATATAGTATTATTTGATGATGCACTCGAGCATTTAACGAGAATCCACAGAGGTTTAAGGCTACAAAAGGGTCATGTCATGTTGGTAGGAGTTGGTGGATCTGGGAAAAGAAGTTTAACATTACTGTCAGCTTTTACCGCTGGTTGTGAGGTTTTTGATATAACTTTATGTAGAGGTTACAATGAAACAATGTTTAAAGAGGATTTGAAAAAACTATACAACAGATTAGGTGTTGAGAGAAAGAAAACTGTGTTCTTCTTTACCGCTAGCCAAATTGTTGAGGAGGGATTTCTGGAATTCATTAATAATATATTGATGATTGGATATGTTCCTTCTTTATTTACTGATGATGATAAAGAACAAATAATCGGTCAGTGCAGGACGGCTGCTAAGAATGCAGGATTTACCATCACGAAAGATGGTGTGTGGCAGTATTTTCTGCAACAGTGTCAAGATAATTTACATGTGGTATTATCGATGTCCTCATCTGGGGATATTCTCAGCAAACGCTGCAGAAGCTTTCCAGGTCTAGTTAATAATACTACTATTGACTGGATATTTCCTTGGCCTTTGCAAGCATTAGAGTCGGTGGCTTCTGTTTTCCTCAAAGACAATCCAAAAATACCAGAAATATATAGAGGTAACATTATTAAACATGTGGTAAGAGTACATGAGTTGGTTATTCAGTATACAGTCGATTATTCCATTAAACTGAGAAGAAAAAATTATATAACACCAAAGCATTACTTGGATTTTATAGCTACGTATTTAAGGTTATTGGAGGAAAAAGACAATTACATCAATACGCAGTGTGAAAGATTAAAGAGTGGTTTAACAAAAATAGCTGAGGCTAGTGTTGACTTGGATGTTTTAAATAAAAAACTGGGTGACCAGAAAGTCATTGTATCTGAGGCTACAGAAGCCTGTGAGGCTATGCTTATAGAAATTGAAGCAGGTACGAGGGTAGCTACAGAAAAAAAGGATGTAGCCTCTCTAAAAAGTACGGAAATTGAGGAACAAGCACGGATTATCATGATAGAACAAGCAGATGCTGAAGAAGCTCTGTCCGCTGCTTTGCCAGCTTTGGAAACAGCTAGGATAGCCCTATCAGACTTGGACAAGTCTGATATTACGGAAATTCGATCGTTTGCCACCCCACCTGAACCCGTTCAAATTGTCTGTGAATGTTTAGTCATTTTAAGAGGTTTGAAAGAGGTTTCATGGAAAAGTGCCAAGGGAATGATGGCAGACCCAAATTTTTTAAGGTCCTTGCAGGAAATGAATTGTGATGCAATAACCCAGACACAAGTTAGAGCCGTTAAAGCGCACATGAGCAAGTCAAAGAAGCTAGATGAAATGGCTAGCATCAGCAAAGCTGGCTTTGGTCTATTAAAATTTGTCCAAGCTGTACTAGGTTACTGTGCTGTGTTTAGAGAAGTGAAACCAAAAAAAGATAGAGTGGAACAGTTGCAGAATGAGTATAATTCAGCTAAACGCTTTCTTGATAAGCTTTACAATGAAATTTCACAGTTAGAAGAAGATTTGGATAAACTGAATCAAAAGTATGAGGTTGCCATGAAACGTAGGCAAGAACTGCAAGCAGAAACTGACATCATGATGAGAAGACTAGAAGCAGCAGATAAACTTATATCAGGTTTAAGTTCTGAACAGGCACGTTGGACAGAGGATTTAAAGGAACTCTATCGAGAAAAAGAACGGTTAGTGGGAAATTGTTTGATTTGTGCTGGATTCCTAGCATACTGTGGACCCTTCACCTTTGAATACAGAAGAGATTTAGTATATGTAGAATGGCAGAATGACATCCTTAGTAGGAATTTACCTCTTTCACAGCCTATAAAGTTAGAATCCAATCTAACCACTGATGTGGAAATAAGTATTTGGACTTCTGAAAACCTTCCACCGGATGAATTATCAGTACAAAATGGAATATTAACTATAAGGGGCTCCAGATTTCCCTTATGCATTGATCCTCAGCAACAAGCGTTAAATTGGATTAAAAAGAAAGAGGAAAGATGTAACTTAAAAGTGTTGAGTTTCAATGATTCTGACTTTTTAAAACACTTAGATATGTCCATTAAATATGGATCTCCAGTACTTTTCCGTGATGTAGACGATTATATCGACCCAGTTGCTGAAAATGTTATACAGAAAAACGTTAAAAGTGTCAGTGGGCGGGTATTTGTAGTACTTGGTGATAAAGAAGTTGACTGGGATCCTAATTTTAGAATGTACATGACCACAAAAATTGCTAATCCTACTTTTAATCCTTCAGTATATGCCTCAGCAATAGTGATAAATTATACAGTGACACTATCTGGACTAGAAGATCAATTATTGAGTGTTGTTGTCAGGAATGAGAGGCCTGACCTGGAAGAACAAAGAGAGTCCCTTATAGCTGAAACTAGTGAAAATAAAAATTTACTGCAACAGCTTGAAGACTCTTTACTGAGAGAATTGTCTACAACAACTGGTAATATGTTAGACAATGTAGAACTGGTCCAGACATTAGAAAACACGAAAAGTAAAGCTGCTGAAGTTATGGACAAATTAAAATTAGCAGGTGATACTGCAAGAGATATTGATAGACTAAGAGATGGTTATCGGTCAGTAGCAAAACGAGGGGCCATATTATTTTTCGTTTTATCTGATATGGCCGGTGTAAATGCTATGTATCAATATTCCTTAGCCTCTTATTTGGAAGTATTTGCATTTTCCCTTAGAAAAGCCTTACCTCATACCTTATTGGCAAGACGTTTAATGAATATTATAAGCACTCTGACAAAAAATGTATACGATTATGGCTGCACTGGAATTTTTGAAAAACACAAGCTGTTATATTCATTCCAAATGACTGCTAAACTGGAACTAAATGAGAAACACATTTCTCAAGCAGAACTGGAGTTTTTTATTAAGGTAAGTAATATTTTGTCCCTGATGTTATTTTTACTGGGCTCTATTTCACAAAATTGCAAATATGCAGATGTTCATATACAGGGTGTTCTGAAAATCCATGAGGAAACTCCGGTAGGTGATTCTACGGATTAAAATAGTAACATTATATAATGAAAATTTTTTTCAAATTGTCAATTGTTTGCAAGTTACAGCTTGTCAAAGTTCATTTTTTTTCATTTTTCTATTTAAATAATTAATTTAATTCAAGTTCGATTAGTCTCTCATTTGGCACCCCCACTAAGTAGATGAAGCTCTATTGGACCAGACAGAGAAAAGTTTCATTATGCACCGCTAAAAGGCACTTTACCTAGAACTCAAAATTTGTTTTGTTCATTTTTGCAAATTCAGTATTTCTTTCACGGAATGTCTCCAAGAAATCAAAACAAAGTGGAAGTTTTAAAAAATTCACATAATTATTGATTGATTAAGTATAATATACAAGATTTGCGGAGATGAATGCACAAAATTTTGAGTGAGGTAAAATTAAAAAAATAAAACCATTTTTTCCTATGGGCCATATGCCTGCTGTCTTCTGTTTTTGAAATATAGGGCGACAAAGATGATTTTTTAGAATTTTAGCAATATCTTTTCCAAAAAAACTATGTATATTTCATTGAAATTTTATATAAATAAAGGTTTAAGGTACATGGTAGCTTGTTTTCGGCAACGTGTTTTTTTTGTAAACCCTGATTGGTCAGTTCAAAAATGATTTTTTCCTATTTATTTCTGCAAGAAGTGAACCAAGGAATTGGAACTTCTATTACTATCTGGCTCTTCGCAACATGGTCACAGCTCACAGTACAATTAAAACGGTCTAGTACTTCACAGCTGTCCACCAAATTCGTTTCACTTTTACACTTTTTTAAGTTGCCAGTTAAATAACGATATTTTGCAAAAATAAAAAAATATGTGTCGGGTCTTTTGCCACATTTTATTTTATGATATCTGAAAAGATGACAAACACCCGATTGTACAATAATATTTTTGAAATAGAGCTTTGGTAACAAATATCAGTTCAGTGAAGTTGGCAGGAGGCAACAAATTTTTCTATAAAACTAATATCCTCAATATACAGGGTGGTCCACCTTAAATGTCAGCCCCTTTTTTCTCCATTATTTTAACAAAGCAAAAAAAAGGTGAAGGTAAAAGTTGTAGGATTTTTTTTTATTTTTGAAATTACAAAAACATTAAGCATTGGGTTACAGAAATATAAGCATAAGAGTTTTTTTGTAATGGAACATCCTATATATTTTGCACATTTGGATCGAACACTCTCTTACGATTATTGTGATATAAGATTTGATGGGACAGTGGTGGCTGGTGAAAATTGAAATGATCATATTTTTATAAAGAAGCATGGGATCCATATTGTTTTTTAGGAAGCCCATCGAAAGGACTTTCCTGTGGAGAATTCCAGAAGTCAGCCATTCTATGGATGCCTCATCGAAACAGGTGACCATGTTGAGGCTCTGTTCCGTGAATCTTCCATTATGCAACGCTTTTACATTTTAAATTGGCAAGTAAACAAGCGCATAAAACTTTAACATCTACAAAATTACAAAAGAAAGATTTTAACTGATCTGCACATCATATTATGATTAAGGACAGTGGTTGTTATTAAATAGGTCTTTCATAACTTGCTATGTGTGACCAGATGGGTGGCATTGTGAAGTTTAAAGGGGATTTGTCGTAATAGACTATGTTCTTCAAATAATGACGATAATGCTGGTTGAGCTTCTGTTAGCTGACAAGTCTAGGCTTTGCTGGGAACGACTATGACTAACCACCTCCAAGGGCTGGGCTGAGATGCCTAAGTTGCCCTTGTCTGGAGAAGGTCCTCCAATAGGTCAGTGGAAAAAATTGGATTAGATCAGTTGAGGCTAACTAGATGGTTGACATTGTATTAAAACATTCCGTTGGACTGGTGAAATAATTCTAATTTCTCTGTTACAGAGGAAGGGAAAAGTAAATTGCCTTCAGATTTGCAAGAAAGAAAATAAAATAAGCAAACTTACCTTTCCACTCTGAGACTGTAACCATTCTGTTTTTAACTGATGTTTACGTGGTATACAATGAGGATGATATTACTAGGAGGTTTATAGAATTAGATGAAATTGAGGAAAATATGGATGTTACAAAATAATTTATTTATAATGTAATGGCTTAACTAAAATTTTGTTACAATTGAGAGAGTTTCAATAGTACATACTAATTCTTCCTACAGTGAATTATTAGGCTCAGTTGAGAGCCGCATAGCAGGGAAATCCTTCACTGCTGTAGTAACTCCTAAAGCTGAATACACCACCTGGTTGTATGTTGCCATAGGCTCATTTGTCCCCTTGTCAGGAGCTCTCCTCTATATTAATTGGGTTAGTGTTACATTGTATAACTTTCCCACAAGGACCAGGGATTTACTTAAACTATTACAAATAAAACCGTGTAACTGCTCTATTCATAGCAATAATTTGTTAGGAATTCATATAATTCTGTGCAAATAGGTTTTCGCATGAATTCTTATCCAATATAACCGCCACCTTATACAATTCTTCATAACTTGTATAACCGAGGAAAAAAAGGCAGTGACCTAATGGTGGGCCATCTTATACCCCAAAAAAATCATTTTTCATTAAGTGTTAACCATTATTTTAACTGAAATTATTTCTATTGGTTTATTCCATTTATCTAGGGCAGTATCAGTTTGGAAAAATCTACCCGTGAGTGTCCTGCAAGTTGGATATCAACCCAGGGTTGGGAAAATATAATAAAATTATCGAGCGATTTCCAAGAGTCTTTTGGTAAACTTCCGTTTGAAATTGAGCACAACCTGGAGACATGGAAAAATTGGTATGATCTGGACACTCCAGAATCGGTTGAACTTCCCGGGGATTACAGTAAAAAAATAACTCCATTTCAAATGTTAATGCTGTTGAGATGTTTCCGTATAGATCGAGTGTTTAGGGCGGTTGGCAATTACATTACAGAAGTTATGGGAGAAGAATTTATAATGCCACCCGTTATAAGTCTTGATAATATTTTTGAACAGAGTAGTCCTGTAACACCTGTAGTTTTTATCCTCAGTCCTGGATCTGATCCTACAGCAGAATTAATGAAATTAGGAGACAGGTAAAAATATACATATAATTGTTTGAAATTGTCAGGCCTTATCTGTTTATTCTAGGTGCGGTTTTGGAGGTGGAAAATTTAAGTACCTCTCCTTGGGGCAAGGGCAAGAGCCAATAGCTCTCAGCCTTTTAGACACAGCCGTATCCAGGGGGCAATGGCTAATGTTTCAAAACTGCCATCTTCTGTTAGCATTTATAAAAGGTTTAGAACAACAGCTGGAGAAAATCGGCAAACCTCACCCGGACTTCCGACTGTGGCTTACTACAGACCCCGTTGGGACTTTTCCCATAGGCATTTTGCAGAGGTCTCTCAAGGTCGTCATGGAACCTCCAAATGGCTTAAAGTTGAATTTACGGAACACTTATTTCAAGATGCCGGCACAAACTTTGGAATCCTGTTCGCACCCAGTTTTTAAGAAATTAATATATGTTTTGGCATTTTTCCATGCTGTGGTTCAGGAGAGAAGAAGATATGACAAGATTGGTTGGAATATTTGTTATGATTTTAACGAATCTGACTTTAACGTTTGCGTGTTGATCTTGAATACGTATCTCACAAAAGCCGTTAAGGCTAAAGACACTAGGCTACCTTGGAACAGCTTGAAATATTTGATAGGAGAAGTAATGTATGGTGGAAGAGTGATTGATGATTTTGACAGAAGGATAGTTGGAACTTATATGAATGAGTACATGGGAGATTTCTTATTTGATACTTTTCAGCCATTCCACTTTTATCAGGATAGTTCCGTTGACTATGTAATACCATCTGATGGAACCAAAGAAGAATATATAGGTAATAAATCACATATTAGTTGGCCATAGTACTTAGTACTTATTTATTTCTATCGGGAGCGAAACTCTATTTAAAAAACTGGCAAATCTAAAGTTTTAGGAAATTCTCTTGAAACAGGATATAAGGCAGAGTTGTTCTTTTTTAAATGGAACACCCTGTACATTTGCTTTTTTGAAATATAAATTTGATTGATATTTATACATGGGCTACCTTGGGCCTTTAAAAACACCTATCATAAGTTTGTTTCCTCAAATTTCACGGTGAAAACTGATTTTTATTTTATCTTATTTTCGTAATTTTTCGCTAGACAGGCTGGTATAACCTTAAACAACTATGTGCTATCTGGAGAGCAAGCTATGGCATTCATTGTTGCCAAATTAAATTTTTCTTAATTATTCAGTATAGGTATATACGATTAGAGTGGAAGAGAGGGAAAATATTTTTATTTTTCATTTTACGAGAAAAAGGTAACCTTGATTAAACTTTTTGCTTGTCTTTAAAATGCAGTTGGCATGGAGAATTTTCATCTGGCATGTACAAGGTGATCAGAAAATTGGTAAATATCATTGGAGTCGACGATGCTAGGGAGTGCGTAGTAGCGGGTCGTGAGTTCCTGCAATTTTCGCTCGATTACGTGTTTTATACCTAATTCAATTGCTGTCGTTGTGCCCACTGTATAAAGATACATTGAACCTTGCTGTAGTGATCCGTTGATTTGGTTTGCACTGCAACTAATCCATAAATTGTTCAATCTGCATCACTTGGAGTGTTTATTCTACCACGTCGATTTAATAGTCATGCCTCAAACGAGAGCAGATAGTAAGATGGATAAAACTGGCTGTGGTGATGGTGCTTCTGAACACTTAATTAATAAGGTCTGTTCTTCTTTTGTTTCTAAATTAACTGCAAAAATTGGAGAGGTTGAGAATAGATTAGTGCAAATGGACATACAGTTTAATGATAAGTTAAACAAGCTGGATAAATTAGATGAAATTAATGCAAAACTTACTCACCTTAACCAATCTGTTATGTCTTTAAGTGTACAGTCTCTTCCAATAGCAAGGAAATTAAACAGTTAAATAACAGACTTAGTTCCTGTGAGCAGTCTATTAAAAACAATGGTCTTCGATTCCATGGTTTCAAAGAAAATAAAGAAGAAAATGTTCCTGAGCTTATGGCGTTATTTATAAGTGAAACGTTAAATGTTCCTTGCTTTGTCTCAGACATCAACTGTGGTTTTCGCATGGGTAAGTTAAGACTTGGTATGGAACATCCACGTCCCGTTTTAGTTACCTTTGTTAATAACTGGAAACGAGCAGAAGTTTTTGGAGCTAGGAAAAGTTTAAAGAGATCGGGTTTGAACATCTCAATTTTTGAAGACCTTTATAGGGAAAGATATATGGTTTTGAAAACTGTGAAAGAAAAATATGGAAAAGACAAGGTTTGGACTGTAGGTGGTAAAATTTATATGCTAAAAGATGGCAAGAAAACTTTGTATGATTGCGTTGATTAACTTCATCGATGCGGTAGGAATAGAATTATATTTAATATAGCTTGTTTACTTTAGGAACTCTTCGGCTGTTTTTAAAGTGATTTTTTTCCCTAGTTAATCTAATCAGTTCAGACACACCTTAGGTTTAAATATTTTCCATATATACTTCTAAGTAATTTATTTATAGGGTATTTTTGCTTAAACACTTTTAATGGGACATTCTTATGTATGTTAGTTTTTATAGTTATAGGTATATTAGTTCAGATTGATATCAGGAACACGGTTAGCGATCTTAGTATGCATAATAGTAAATTTTCTTTTTCTCACTTTAATATTCAATCTATACGAACTGGCTTTGATTTGTTTAAGGATTTAGTTTTTAATGAAAAATTTTCTGTAATTGGTTTATCTGAAACATGGCTGGATGATAGTACTCGTAGTGACGACTTCAAAATTGCTGATTATAATATTGTTAGGAAGGATCGTGAAGGGAGAGGAGATGGTGTTGCTTTTTTTGTGCATAAATCTATTAACTTTAAATTACTTGACATTCCTTATGGGGATGCTATTGAACAACTCTGGATCTCGGTTAAAATTCGTGGTAAAAAACTTTGTTTGGGTACTTTATATAGACCTCCCCGCTTTAACTTATCAGATAGTCTTGCACAGCTTGAAAATGCGTTTACAGCACTATTGCCTGAATGTGATGTACTAATCTTTGGTGGTGATTTTAATGTTGATTGTTTACTTAAAAAAACTCACGATTTCGTTGCCTTAAATAGCCTTTTAACTAAATATGGTTTACAACAACTTATTTCTTCTCCTACTCGGATTACAGCGACGAATAAAACTTTAATTGACCTTATTGTGTCATCTGATGTAAATTTGCCGACTAATGTTGAAGTGTTAAATATGCAGGGTATTTCTGACCACCATTTGGTAAAGTGTCATTTAAACCTAGTCCAGGCGATATCTGTCTTACAAAGGGTGTACTTGGGTAAAACGCATATGATCAGAGATTTTTGCTTTAACGGCTTCTAAATAACATCAGAAATGATAATTTTTCTATGCAAATAAAAAAAACGTGGGCTTAATTGTTATTGCAAAAAAGTATAAAAAAATAGCAAAAAAATTCATTTTTTTCTTGGATTTCTCGTCGACAACTTAGCAACTATTCATTTTAGACAAAAATGGAAGAGGAAAAAAAGTTTTGTAATTAAATTTTGATCAAGATAGAGTTAGTTGCAATTCGAAAAAATAATTATTGTTGTTGCAAAAATCGGAAAAATCATTTAAAAAATTGCAAAAAATGCTAGTTTATTTGTCAATTTTTTTCAGACACTTGAATAATACCTAGGATCTTCATACTTTTCCCAATTAAACTTCTTAGTGCATAGAATCATCACACCAAATTTCATCCAATTCGGTTCGATAGTTTTTACATAATAATTGTTTAATTTTTTTATTTTTTTTAAATTAAAAAATTTTCAAAATCAAATTTCTAAAAATCTAAAGCCTTTGAATACTTGAAAATTTCACCACAAAAAGAAGAGCTCTCAAGCTTTAAAATGCTTTTTGAAAAATTCAAATCGGACGATTAGGTGAGCCGTGGTGATTGTTTAAACATTTTCGCAATTTTCACGCTTATAAACAATTGCAATAATTTAATGTTTTTTCAAATTTTTTTTTATTTTAAAATATGGTTTGAAAGTACTCGGAAAGGCGAGTATTTAAAAAAAAACCTGATGATCCGCCCATTATTTTCGGAGTTATAGCCCGTTAAAGTTAACCCTTATTTACAGCAAAACTATAAGGGCTGTTTTTTGAACCAATAGGTTTGTTATTCCGAGTACTTTCCAGATATAAATTTTCAAAATTTGCAATCACGGGCGTCCCATTTAAAATGTCACTCAAAGATATTCAAGACCGCGTGAAATCAATGAGGTATCAGTGGTGGGGGGAGCAAACACACAGCTACTCCGATCTGAATTCTCGAGTTCAAAATTGCGACACTCGGAAAAATTTCACTTATCTCAGCGTCTAATGGACCAATTTCGATGATTTTTTTTTAAATCGATGTCTCGCAACTAAAAAATTCAATTATCATATTTTCAACTACATTTTATTATTAATTATTGGACTTTTGACATGCCGATAAACAGTTACTTTAAAAAATGATTAATTTATTATGTTTATTTATTTACTATGTTAATTTTCACGACCAAAATTTTTGCATGTTGCACCATGTTGTTGGTATTAATTAAGTATCCAAAAGATTCTTATACTTTTTTTTATAAATAAAAAATAAATTTTAGATAAATATTTTAAAAGTAAACGAAAAAATTAAAATTATAATTATTCACAATTTATTTTTTTTTGAAAGATTTTTAGAAATTTATCGTACAACTAAAAATTAATACCAATTTTCAGTTGTTTATTTAAATAATTATTGTTTAAACAATTTTATAATATTTAAACAAACTTACTAGTATTACCTGGTGCAACATGCAAAAATTTTGGTCGTGAATATTAACATAGTAAATAAATAAACATAATAAATTAATCATTTTTTAAAGTAACTGTTTATCGGCATGTCAAAAGTCCAATAATTAATAATAAAAGGTAGTTGAAAATATGATAATTGAATTTTTTAAGTTGCGAGACATCGATTTAAAAAAAAATCATCGAAATTGGTCCATTAGAAGCTGAGATAAGTGAAATTTTTCCGAGCGTCGCAGTTTTGAACTCGAGAATTCAGATCGGAGTAGCTGTGTGTTTGCTCCCCCCACCACTGATACCTCATTGATTTCACGCGGTCTTGAATATCTTTGAGTGACATTTTAAATGGGACGCCCGTGATTGCAAATTTTGAAAATTTATATCTGGAAAGTACTCGGAATGACAAACCTATTAGTTCAAAAAACAGCCCTTATACCCTTATAGTTTTGCTGTAAATAAGGGTTAACTTTAACGGGCTATAACTCCGAAAATAATGGGCGGATCATCAGGTTTTTTTTTAAATACTCGTCTTTCCGAGTACTTTCAAACCATATTTTAAAATAAAAAAAAATTTAAAAAAACATTAAATTATTGCAATTGTTTATAAGCGTGAAAATTGCGAAAATGTTTAAACAATCACCACGGCTCACCTAATCGTCCGATTTGAATTTTTCAAAAAGCATTTTAAAGCTTGAGAGCTCTTCTTTTTGTGGTGAAATTTTCAAGTATTCAAAGGCTTTAGATTTTTAGAAATTTGATTTTGAAAATTTTTTAATTTAAAAAAAAAAAAAAAAATTAAACAATTATTATGTAAAAACTATCGAACCGAATTGGATGAAATTTGGTGTGATGATTCTATGCACTAAGAAGTTTAATTGGGAAAAGTATGAAGATCCTAGGTATTATTCAAGTGTCTGAAAAAAATTGACAAATAAACTAGCATTTTTTGCAATTTTTTAAATGATTTTTCCGATTTTTGCAATAACAATAATTAATTTTTCGAATTGCA